TAGCAACGCATCGTCCATTAACACATATTCCATTATGACATACCTGTTCACCGTTTACAAATCCAGAACAACGTCCACCAATTCGAGCCTGTGACACGCAATGAGGTTGTCCATGTGATCGATCACAAAACAGATATCTAATCGTAAATAGCTCAGAAATACTTTCTTCCATTGGAAACAAGTAAAGCTAAATCTCATATATTTTATAGTTAAATTATATTTTAGACTTAAAATATCACAGATATTAAAACAGTAAACATCTTCTGTACCTTGTTGAAAGTGCACAATTTGAATCGTAACGATTGTTTTTTACGCTGCTAAGCAAAATTTTTTAATTATATTAATTAGTCAGTCTTGAAGGTGATGATAACTTTGTTTAAAACGGATGTTGTAATTCTGCTAGTATTGGAATGGAATTTTCTTTCTATTTTTAGGAATTATGATTTTATTTACTTCGATCCACAAGTTGGGCCACTTTGACAGGTTGGCCGTGGTGCATATTCATATAGATTATCAGTATAGGCATTGCTCAAACCATCAATGTTTCGTAATGGTGCGAAAGGCCTCATTAAAGTGGAACCGAAATGTAATGCGCTACTGCATGCCTGATTATCAACTGAGTAATCGTTTTCACGTTGATATCGTGTCTGGAAAGTGATCATTTATAGTTTCGTTCTAACAGTTTTCCTTTTTCTCAAAAATATTCGACAAACTTGAAATAAACATTGTAAAAAGCTTGAAATTGAATTTTTTTATTCTCTTCAAAGTTTGGAATGTGTAAGTTACACCTGTTTTTGTTGTCGGTACATCTCCCATATATAATCGACAAATGAATGATGCAGGTAGAATAACGGATCATTTCCGGATGTGTACGGATCGTACATATCACCACCCACAAATATATGAACATTCCCATGTGTATATTCCAAGGCGTTGTAATTGGCACGATATTGGCAACCCTTTAGCAAAATGAATGCTTGTTATTAATTTCCGATATGAATTAATTTCCAGGTGTTATTATTACAGGAATTATTCGTTATTATGACCGAAAATGTAGCCATTTTCGTTATGGCATAACCCTTTAAAATTCATTAAGTTAGCAACAAACTTTAAAAACTATCAAAACATGGTGTATATTAAAATTAGAACGTATTTAAATTAGTTCCAGAAATACTTTCAAAAGTACTACCTGTCTAGGAGCAGTAAATGCAAGAACATTTTCCATCTGATTTTGTTGCAGGAACCAATCCAAATCTGATTGTTTGAAGGGCATTCCTTGCTTTCCAACTTCACGCTTTATATTTGGATGTTTCTATTTTTTCGTTTTATATTACAAATTCAGAATTGAATTAACGACATTAAATGATAAGAAATATCGTTTATTACTAAATTTTTGCCTAATTCAGTTAATTAAACAGTCATATCACATATGCTATTGTGCTATTTTGCCGATAATTTCGTAATCGATAATGATGAAATAAAATTAAATAGAAAGTAAATTCGTACCTCAAATGTGACGAAATTAGCAAAATCTCCCCCGGTTACAGCTCCATTTGCATTGGTTGTACCCATCAATTCATTTGTCCACATCACCGAATCTTGTGGAGTTGGTAAACCACTATCCAGAACTGAATCCCAGTATGGGATGGAAACGGTAGGATCAATTTGTCGAAGAGCGATCTCAAATCTTTCCGCAAAAAAGGAAACATTTATCAATTTTAAATAAAAAATAATCTGAAGAAAAAAAATTGAAATAAAAAATTAAATACAAGGCTATGATGAAGTAATAAAATTAGCAATACCTTTTGATGAATTCTCGATGCCATGGAAGAAAGGCAGGCCCAGAATGTGCACCACCGCTAACTGCTGCTCGGCCATGAATCAGCGCTAAATTATCATATTCACCAGAACGTTTAAGTTGTATTAAAGCATTGTGAAATCTTTCCCGCTCCTGATCAGTTAGCATGCGATACTCTTTCCTGATAGCTTTTGTCAATCGTGAACCATCGGGTAAATAGCATATTCCACCTGCTTGTGTTCTACCTGCCATTATAATTATAGGTGAGTAGCAATAGGAAAAAACTTATTTCTTAGTTTGATTGACAAATTAGTAATTGCATTGAAATAACTATGTATCAAATCAAAACTTTTGAAGCAAAATTATATTTCATAACAAAGCATAATACTTTCAATCAATGAACGAGGGTATGCGAACTTTTAATTTAATTAGAATTTAAATTGCAAATAAATACATACTATATATAACTGATGAAAATGTAATAGCTATTAACAAAGTGAATTTAGAAACAGCGCAATACTAAAAATGGAAAAAATAAGTTTGTGATTATGGCTGGAAAATAAAATGTACAAAAAAATATGGAAAAGATTGCATATAAAATTTTGGAAAGTATACTTAAAGTTGTCAATTACGCAAATTTTTCTCTTATGTAGTTCACTTAAACAACGTGATCGTGTCGGTGGAATGTTACATGCGACGTTTAAAGAAAATGATGAAAGCATAATTGCAAAATGAATTATTTCCATCGATTGCTTACAATATTATAAACCTTTTTCATTTTTCTCAAAATAATTTAAAACGTTGAAAAGATTGTTCGCGTTTTTTTCAGGAAACTCTTTCTATCTTATCTAATTAAAGATTTCTGACTTTTTCCAAAGAGGATATGTTTCCTTCATTGTCAATTTTTTATTACAGGTATATTTTCCCCGATTTTTTTATTGCGAAATCGTTAGTGAGTGATATTTAAATTTATTCCTACCAGATTTTTGTGAGTCTAAAGTTTAAATTTCAACTAAAAAGTTCGGAACTAAACATTTTTGTGGAATTTCGTAATTTGATTAGATTTTTTTTTGAACAGAATATTATTAATTCATTATTATCCTTATTTCAGATGGTGGGATTATAACAGTAAAAAGAGTAACAGCTCAAAAATTATAAAATTCCATGCATATTTTTCTCATCATTGAAGAGTCAACCACAGCAATAATCTGTCTCTTCATTTTCTGCATCTCAACCTGAAGAAATATTTTGACACAGGCAAAGGCATGTTACAACCTTTGCAAAGTTATGAAGCATCTGAGAGATGAGCAATTTTTCGATTTTAATGAAAAAATTTGAGAAATGAAACGATCACTTACCCCTTAAATATATACAAAGACATTCGAGATCCATGCATTGATAAGGAGTGGAAGTAATAGGCGCAAGCTGTGCGGCAATCATTTGATTTCTTCCTGGGATTGCAGGTGGTGATACCACAAATGGTCCTACTGGTGGTTTAGCCTATAGTTCGTGGATTTCATAAAATTCATTTTCACAGTTTGAAAAATCTTTTACAAAATATTCAATTATAAATGATTCAAATTCTTTTTATAAACTTTTGTGCTTTTTGACAAATTCAAATTTACCCGAGCTTGTCTGTCCCATTCATGTAATTGATTACAAATTACTCGTGCAGATGCTGATGGTGCATCAGAGCATGGATTCAGAAATTCTTCAGCTAAATCTGCTGAGATACCATAAGATAGAATGGCACAGGATATAAATAATAACAGCATTCTTTCTTCTCAGATCTTAAGCGGAATCTATTATTCTCCGGAGAAGGGAATTTGCTTTCTGATGAAATATTGCGAGGTGACAAATACTTAATGTTATTTGCTTCCAGAAGTGAAAATATCAATCTCTTCACGATAAACTTGAGAGCATGCCACTTCAGAGATGCTCTTTTCAGACCCGCCTATAAAAATTATTTCAACCAGAAAGCGTCTTTGTCAGGGACAGAGAAAATTAAATGGTTTAATCACTAGAAATTCCAAAGTTGCTGACGCATGATGTACTTGCGGGAAACAATGAGTGTCGAAGGTGGGGTGTGTCTCCTTTAGACTTTTTGAAGGTATAGTAATGACAACACGACAAGTTCCGCGATATTGGCTGTTTTGAGTCGATAGAAGTAAATGAGATGATAAGGACGGCATTTTGATTGCAATCATTTAATAGAAAAACTTTCAAGTGGTTTCTTTCACGCAGGACAGCTCGACTGCTTCTTCAATTCACTTCTCCTTGCAATCATTTTCATGTCATTACTTTTATGTCCTATTAGAATCAAAGAGGACTAATGCCAATCTTACCATACCCGTATCAATTGTCTTTTGTGCCTCACCTTCAAACAACACTGCAAACGTCACAATAATAGATAAGAAATTGCTTTTGTCTGAATCAGCCTAGGAGAATGTAATATTTTATAATAATAGTACACCTTAACTAAATATAAAGTGAGATGAAATTAATCTTAATAAAAATTTATGTTAAGTTCCGAATTAATTATTCCTTATCTTATTTGTTCTTGGATTCCATTAGATTTTTGCTTTGGGAGCAAAAAAGAAAAAACAATTTTACGCTTTATCAAAATCTTTTATTTGCTGAAGTTATTAAAGAAACCTTACTATGAATCTCATTCTTCTATTTGTATGCATCAGTTTTGTCTTTTAGTAAATAATATATGTACAAAAAAGACAATCTATCTGTCACTGCGAGACATATCCATATCAAATGATATAATTTTATTCCAGTAAACATATATTTACAACATATATCTGTGTAAAATTTAATAATTAAATATAAAAACGTTTTTCTCCTCTTTAAGTTGTGGTATTTTACCCGCTTAAAATATAAATTATTTTAAATATCAGTAAAGATAAAATGCGCAAATTAAAGCAATATAATGCGATCAAATAGGAAACATAAAGGAACATTGGAAGTTATATTTAAAAAAAATACTCAAAAAGGAAGGCATAGAATGTAAAAGGAATCAAAAATCTTTTTTCTTAGTTGAAAAGAGATTATCCTCTGGAAGAATTTTCTTCAAATTTCCTGCTTTTTTTAAAAAATATTTCTTCATTATTTTATTTCTTTTTCAAATGGCACTAACCCAACTCTATTTTTGACATCGTCTCGTTTTCGATAATTTTTTAAAGCCTTTCAAAATTTATACATAATGCACCAAAGATCCATCTTTAAGCTGCAACTTTGCAATACCACTTCGAATACGTGCACTATCAATTGTTTCCAAGAACTGCTTACAATTAAATGCCAAACGATGACTTATTTTCAATACTTCTCTTCTTAATACTTCATAAGTATCCTGAAATCTCAGTGTTCAAATCCATAAACAGTATCAGGAGCCATAAATAAGCAATATTTTACCAAATCAAAAAATCCCTTTCGGTAGTACAATAATCAATTATAGAGAAAACTAAAATAATTTATAAAGTAGATGAAATCTAAAAAAAGTAAGTTCAAACTCTACCTTGCTTACATTTTCCCCCAAATTTTTTTTCATCGCTTCCGATAGGTTATGCAAATCTGATTCCAAAAGTGTCTCAACCAATTTTACATCCTGCTGATCAGAAGTGTTTAAAATTGATATATATTGGATGGATTCATTAAATAAATTTCTCAAATGATCCATGATAATCTGTAACATATTTTTTAACAATTAATATATAAATTTGATAAGCAACCCAGACGTATAAATTAATTTATCTATTCATTCGAACTTACAGCACTGAACGAATTCATTTTTAACAGTTTCAATGATAAAATTTGATTTAATTTTGTGATCAAAAAATTACTAATAACATATAACCTGATGTGTTATGCATAATACCAGTTATGACACATGACATGAGTGTAGTGATGTGCTATGGATGCAGGTAATATAAACACAATTATGAATGTTAAATGGTTAGATTTCCATCCTTTTGAACATTTGATTATGATACATAAAGTGGAGAAAAGTGTTATAGAATTGAACATACTTTAACACATTCGTTGAAATGTCCACTTGCCATTGTTGCATGGAATTCTTTAGATAAATTTGTTACTGCACCAATTACTCTAAAAACAGCTGCATGCACTGTATCACTGCGGCGGTCAAATTCATAACCTGGTGGTATATTCTTTTCTTCGCTTAACAACGATTTTTTTCTGGATAGTGAATTAATATGCTGCGCTCGAACTGTTGAAAGTGCTGGTAGTGGTAGCTGTAAAACTTTTTTTACCTTATTCAAAAAGTTTCCGCTGCTTTTAAAAGATAAAGTAGAAAAAACTTTAAAAATTTCATTTCATAAAACTTCCCAATTATCATTGCATCCTACTGTTAATATAATAGAATAGAGTATACCTTGCTGTTAAAACATATGAAATTTCAAAGACATAGAATGTTGCTTTTTGTGTTTTTTTAAATTTAGATATCGAACATTCGAAAGTTATAATTACAATCCTGAGTTTCCTAAAAAAATTACAAGTTTTTCTTCCTCCTCTTCGAGCCATCTATCATCCTCCTCCGACTGAATTCTTTGCTGCTCCAATGTGCGCCACAACGTTGACGTTGGCATTGCTGCAGAATCCACTTTTAATACTGGTGCTACCTTAATAAAATAAAAGAACGATGAAACATATTATTGGGTAGAAAATGTAAATCAAAAAATATTTTTATTATCAATTTTCAAATCTGGCTGAATCACAAAAATATTTTAAAATGGAAAAAAATACCGTTAGAAAACCATTTGTTTCGCTTTTTTCTTTAATTAACGCAGCGATCTCCTGCAAACTGATAACGGGAATACCAATTAAATTTATATGAATAACAGAGGTGAAAAAAAAATGCAGCAATAGAAACCTACGTTTTCTGAAGGTGCCGCAAGTAATCCGAAAGGAACATGACAATCAATTTGATCCAGCAGAAAACCAAGGTAACGATTAACTTCAAATATTGTTGGTCTTTTTAAAGCCTCAAAACTCCACATACGCCTGAAAAATAATTAAGATCCCAGAAATATGGAGACATTTAGATAAAAAGTTTGAAACAAAACTAAAAAACTTTGTCTTTAGACTAAACAAAACTCACAATAATAAATCGTGAAGAACTTGCGGGCAGTTACTGGGTCTTTCAAGTCGTTCACCACCCTCAATTTTCAATATAACATTATGATTCCGGACACCTTGCCAGGGTTTCACACCATAGGTAAGTATTTCCCACATGCAAACACCTGTAACGTTTTATGGGTGCTGAAAGTTAGGACTATGAAGAGTCAGATAACGGCACGAAATTCAATTCACCATAAATGTCACCAAACTTCGATGGAACAAGTAGCTTCAAGTTCTCGCAGAAATGCTGAAGAAATTCACCTCAGAAATCAACCTTTCATATTTGAAAGACCAAGATATATTAATAGATAAACCAACATGACATAAAATATTTTTCTTCCTTAATTCCAGTTATAACTAATATTGATAAAGAGCAGAAGCCAAACAAAACAAAAGAAAAAACTTTGTTTCTCCCTTTAATTACTGAATGTTTCGCAGTGTTAAGGAATTGATCTTTAAAATTTCAAATTGACAACATTTCCACTTCAAGATCTAAATAACCAATAACAGAATTCTTTGCTCTGAAAATGAGATCGAAATCTCCAGTGATCAGGAGTTTTAATAAAGAAATAAGAAAGCTAAATCCAAACCGAACATCCAAACATCGGTTGCCTTATTGAAACAGAGATAATTAATTGATTCCGGTGCCATCCATTTTATCGGAAGCTTCCCTCGAGATGCTGTAAAAAACTTGATTAAAAAGAAGAGTTTTTATGAAAAGTCTAAAATGCATTTGGGCTTTAAGGAATATCTTATAAATAATAAGAATTGGCAGTGAAAATTTAAACGTAGCATTTTAAACTGCACATCTTGAAATTAGACCGCAATAATAAGAAAAAAAAACAACTACCAGGAAGATGAATATATAAAGTTAGATGAATATATAAAGAAGAAAGATAAGGTTTTTTTTCCCCCACGCTACATATATAAGCAGTATTTACCTGTATATATGTTATCTTCTTCAACACAACGGCTTAGACCAAAATCCGATAACTTCACGCAATGTGGAGATGACAAGAGGACGTTACGAGCAGCGATGTCTCGATGCACGTATTTACATGAATGCAAATAAACTAAAGCAGAACTGAGTTGCTGACTGAATAAAAGTTGAACGGATAAATCAATTGTCGCAGTGTTATGCAACAAATATTGTCGCAACTGTAAAGTTCCAATTGTATAAATAATTCTGTAATTAAAAGACAACAGAAAACTCTCTAAAACAAGTAAAACTTTTTTGTTCTTAGGTAAGTTTTTTTGAATGAAATTTAATAAGAACATCTCTTCGAATTCCTAAGTTTTTGTAAAAATGTGGTTAATTTTTCAAATTCTTAAAACCAACATACTTCGCCAAGTGGCGCCAATTCCATTACAATCCAAATAGGTTTTTCTATACAAATTCCCACCAATGCAATAATATGTTCGTGATGAAACCGATGCATTACAACTGTAAAAATTAAAATATAATGTGATAAAACTAAGCAATTATTTTGGAGAATAAAGTGATTTTGATGACGAATGCTTCGGTAATTCATTGGTTTAAAAGTGTTTTAAATAATACTTGCAAAAGATAATTTAATCTTTTGCAACACTCTTAACTTTGAACTCCAAACATAATCTCATCCAAATAATCTTCACACTTACAAGCTTCTTCTAGAAAATTCTCTTTTTCCACTGTCTCATCATTCATTTTGCAAACTTTTACAGCAACAGCATCCATTACACCATCCTGAAAAACCTTTATTGAAGAAAAAATCCAGACTACACTATAAAGCAGAATGACGGAAATTTGAAAAACTTTTCCAGTTAATTTCAAACCTCTTTCATAAATTTTCCTTTGTAAACATTGCCAAACTGACCATCACCCAGTAATTCTTCTAGTATTACTCGTGAGCGGTCCACAAGAAGATTAATATCTAAAATCAACAAAATATGATCGATGCTAACATGTTTCTAAAGATCAATTCTGACTTTCTATTACACAAATTACCTTTAGGAGTAAATGCCAATTCGCCATTTACAAAAGGTACTTTCATTTCTTGCTTTTTTAACTCATCCACTAATTCTGAAATAAATGTAATAATTATCAGTAACAGAAATCACCAGACTGCAGATAATATGACAATTCAGAATGAAGTGGATGGACTTGGTCTTAAAAAATAGCATTGTGCTTTTTTTTTAATTTTATAGAAATTCTGAAAGCCTTCTAAATAAGAAAAAAAGACGACTAAAAACAGTTATACCAGATGGAGCCCAAATCGATCCCTGCTGTGATAGTAGCATGTGATAACCATTGATAAGATGTGCTAAGGATTCGGCAATCGACCACGTTGGCAATATAATTGACTAAAAAAACTAAGCATAATCTATCACAATCAATAAATGATTAACAACTTTCGGGTATTATTTTTATGCCACTTCATTTATCATTATATATTAGCAGGATTAATTAAAGAAATAAATACCAGCTGTCGTGAGCTCCCCGTTATTTTCAAATTAACTACAGTTTTTTCCGATTTTTCATCCAATTTCAATAATGTCAAATTGATAATGTATTGTAATCTTGCCAACAAAATAGGCTGAAAGTAATGAAATAATACTGGAATAGATTTATCCATATCATTATATGAGTCCATTATAAATGGTTAATTAAACTACAAATTTAACTAGGATTAGTAAGGATGCTACTGTACTTGGCATTTATAAGAATTTTAAATTAAAATAAAATACATGTCAAAATAAAATAGCGTAAGAATTTAAAATAAAATTAAATTAAATGCACAGTAATATAAGCCTCAATACTCAAAATTTACATCCACAATGTAATTGTATGACTTTGACTAACGTAATTGGCTAATTCAAAGTTGTAACTACGCAGCCAGTAAAAAACTTCATAGCCACATTAGGATGAAGAAAAACGGATAATTATACAACAACCAGAGTAAATCAGTATTACAATGTGCCCTTTTCTATGGATATCAGATAGTATAATGAATATTATTATGCAATTATTATGTGACTTTATTTATCCTTATCAACTTTTTAAAATATTTTGCATTAAAACTGCAGCAAATAATAATGTTTAAGAATAAAAGTTCATACTCCTCGGCCGCGTCCATCTGAAGCGCAGGAAACACCAATATCATTACCTACCATAACATCTAATGGATTCTTCCAAACGACCTGAAATAAATTACTTTTATTTATGATATCTATAAAAATATTTTCACGCGAATTTTGGAAGCAAACGCAAGTAAAGTTAAGAGAAGAGTAGTGAAGAACGAAAATTATTCGCTCTTCTAGAAAGATAACAAACATATGATATTACAGGAATGACAAAACCATACGCCCAAAGAAGCTCTAAATATTTCTCTATCAAATTGCGTTATTCGTTTAACAATTTCCAGGAAATGGAAAGTGCATTCTGTTGGTGTAAGCAATGCATGCCTTTTCACTGCAGCTGTTAATGCTTTCCTCAGTATTTTTGACTGAAAAAATAGTTCAATTCAATTTTAAACAAATTTCACAATTAATACTGATTTAAGAAAAGAAAACGGAAAAACAAATCTAAAATCGAGGTGTGATTTGAAATCTATTGATCTTACTTCAGTATTGCTTTATCATCATATCTTTCCATTTAGAAAGTAATTCTTTCTATCAAAAAATACGACCCGGTAAAAAAGATCTTAAAAGCTTTTCTTAATTTAGAACTATATTTTGAGACAGACCTTCATATTAATGAGCATAGTTTCAGGCAGTAACCGCGCAAGAGTTCCTTCGGCTTCAAGTTCATCCAAATTTAAACACTTTTCGATGCTACACCTGACAAGTGTAATATATGATAAAAACTACAAATTCAATATAGAAATATTATTTCAAAGAAAAAATTAACTTACGAGCTTTGATTTCCAAGCTTTCGACGTATCTGTAAAGCAGCCAATTCAATGGCTGTCTCGGAAGGAATTTTCCATGACACCTGAAACGAGCGTTTAATTTAGGTAAATATAAAAGATACGTTAATCGTTACAGCCGGAAAAAGTGACGTGACGATGAAGTTGTAGTTGGACTGCATATTTCATCCTTCAATAACTAAAATATGAAAATATTTTAATAAACCCACATACACACGGGAGGACACAAATGACAAACGGTGTAAATTTTTGATTGTATTGAAAAATTTATTGAAAACTCGTAAAAAATAGGAACCAAACCTGAGTTACATAATCAGCCAGAACTTGGTCATGCAAAAACATAAAAGCATCCGTTTCTGTTTGATACATTTCCTCAAGATCTTTCGATATGAAACGTAGCCGTAACTCAAACCTTAAATAAAATATAAGTTAAGATTAAAAAAGTAATAAAACCACGAATTAATTCAAGTGAAGTATACTTTGAAGAATAATTTTGGAATTAATATACTTCCATAGAGCAAAAATTATTGAATATTTTTGAAATACCAATTTTTTTAAATGTTTTCACCAATTTTAGTTAAAATTGCCTTACTTAGCTTTTGAAAAATTAAGTCAACCTGCGCCAATCACTAAACATACGATTACGGCGTAACAACACCTATGACATTATTCTGCTTTTCTGCTCTTCAACTGCGACTTCAACTCCATTAAAACAATTTTTTAATAGAAAATCAAATTCTACCAACGAAAAATGAAAAAGCAATGAGGAGTTACCGCAGTTGAACGGAACTCGAACTTCTGTTGAAGAATTTGTTATAAACATGTCGCATTGTAAGAGCTGAATGTAGCCAGTGGCAGTCATTGTTATTACTGCATGTTTGTGTTACCGGAGATCGAATTAAGCGAAGAGCGAAATATCCGAATGATACACGATCAATGCCCAATGATGATAATAAGACATGAATCACTTTCTGAAAATACTCCTTTAATTAAAACGAAATATAAACGATTCATTGTTATAAAATGCCAGGAAAGGTATGAACAAACGCGATAATCAAAATCTCAGCAGTAATATTTCAATGTCAGATTAAGTCACAAACATTTCGTAAATCTGATTATAAATTCAAATATTAGTAATTCGTAAGTTTAAAGATCGAGGAGCAATCATTTTATCTTTTCAAAGAATAAAAAATAAAAGAAAAGAAAGGGCAACCTGAACTTTGATTTCGAAATTATATCGCACACTTTTAACGATACCATTGGGTATATAAACCAGTATAATATCCGTTTCGTTCATTACCGCTGTCAACTGAATCAATTTGTCTTCTTTGTTGATGTTATTGTATGATCGTTACCTATCATTCAATCCACCTTACGGTGGATTAAGTTCTCTTCTGCAAGTTACAGCTGTTTTTAACAATTTCCTGCAATCATAAAATTGCTTTTAATTGATAAATAATGATGTAGACACTAGGGAATGTTATCAAAACAGTCCTCAATTCATCTCATTGCTTAATAACATAATTATAAGAAATGTATTAATACAGAGAATAAGAGATTCTTTTGAGGGGAAGAATTCGAGGCTCCGCGATATTGCTGTTCAAATGAGTTGATTAGTCGATCGATAAGCGATTATAAACATAACATTCATCTGTCCCTCCTTCCACCTCTCCCGCCAACCCTAACTCATCACGATGATAACACGACAATGAGATTTGGCAAAAACGCGAATGATTGATTGGATCAAACCAGCGAATAACATTGTATTGCAGTCAATCTCCGCCTAAACCTCTTCATGAGGCAGTGATGAGAATGTACCGACCGATAGTGCTACTGTACCAGGTTCTATTTAAATCCCATTTTTCAATATCGTGTTTGAAATTTAAAATGCTCCACCAAACCTCAATCTTTCAAATAAATCTGGTGAATCGCGGTAGGAATTGATGACGCAGCTATTTATTATTGTTAGTTTTTACTGCGAATATCCTATCGTAAGATTCCTACTGTGTTGCATCATATCATTTCACCCTCCCAACAATTTCCTAACAATGCGATTAATCATCAAGCACTATATCTGGCATGTTAATATCCACCATGCAAATGGATATCATTTCGTGAGGGAGTATTGAAATTTGACGATTTCTCATTCTTTGAAAATAGCGCCCTTTCCTGCAAAGCACGTCGAGAGATCGATCACTGATGTGGTGGTTGGTCTTTGGTAATCAGTAATGCATGGGTGGAGTTAGGCGAAGTTGCTTCGAGTCGGGTTTGGTTAATTCGGGTCTGGTTGGGTCGGATCGGATGACTTTCTCTCTGGGAGGGTTGCAATTGATTTGATCAGTTAGGCTTTGTTCACTTTGATCTTAAGTGGTATCGTTCGGTTGATTTTTTTGAAAATGAAATTGATCTTTGTTTTTTTCTTATCGGAGTTAATGTTTCAAAAGTTATTTTGACAATGACTTTTGGAAACTGTAAGCGGAAGTAAATTTGCAACTGTTTGATGATGATTTTTCTTCATTTTAGATGGGCGAATATTTCTTCAATATTGATCACGGCTATTTGGAGGGTTTAGTTCGAGGATTCAAGGAAGGTATCCTAACACAAACCGATTATGCCAATCTTGTCCAGTGCGAAACTCTTGAAGGTAGTATTGTAGTAATTTTTGAAAATTCTGATGGTTTACATTAAGTAAATTGAAGCGAAATAACTTTAATTTATTTCTTTTGAGAGTGTCTAAGAAATATCGGTCGAGAAAGGGTGAAAGCTGATATCTTGAGAAATATGCATGTGTTGTGTTTATTCATGAAAAATCTTTATGGAAATTTCTAGAAAATATATGAAGTTTTCAGATCTGAAACTTCATATTCAATCAACAGATTATGGAAGTTTTTTGGCAAACGAACCAGGTTCAATAACAGTTCAGGTAAATCAATGGATTACGCGAATACATTAACACTTGTATGAATAAATAACTCTATATATATATATAACCTTATTTTATGGGATTTCCTTTTATAGTTTGTTGATTTTCTTAATTTTGTAGGTTATTGATGAGCGATTGAAAGAAAAGTTAGTAACGGAATTTACACATTTTCGAAACAATGCCTTGGAGCCCTTGTCCACATTTCTGGACTATATAACGTTAGTTGCAGAACTTGTATTGGCTCTTTTTATTTACAATTTTTCTGAAGTGGCAATAATCGTTTGATTATTTCTTTCAATTTTTTGTTAAGAACAGTCAATTTCAGATACTCATATATGATTGATAACATCATTTTGCTTATCACGGGGACATTGCACCAGCGACCAATCAATGAGCTTATCTCGAAATGTCATCCTCTTGGTTCTTTTGAGCAGATGGAAGCTATTCATATCGTTTCAACACCAGCTGAACTTTATAATGCTGTGCTTGTGGACACTCCTCTAGGCAAGAGATCCTTTACTTTTAGCTGTAAAATATTTAAGGTTTGACACGGCATATTCAAAATTTTGGAGATTGTTTTGAAATTTTCAATAAATTTAAAAGGTGCTGAATTGCAACACTGAGTAACGATTGTCTAATGAAAATTATTATAAGATGGTAAATGATACGACGCGAAAAATTCTCTTTTTTATCCAAATAATGCTGACTTAAATTTTTCAGTGCACTTAACAATATTTTCACTGAAGTACGACGTTATTTGTTTCTTTTGCAGCGGCGTACTTTGTTGATTGTATCAACGAACAGGATTTAGATGAAATGAATGTGGAAATAATTCGTAATACTCTATATCGCTCCTACTTAGAAGACTTCTACAAATTTTGCAAACGTTTAGGAGGGAAGACAGCAGAAGTTATGGGTGAAATTCTTGCGGTATGTTGGAAAGAATGAATATATAAATTCGGTGTTATACAGAGAAGTTGAACTATCGACTGTTTGGTTTTAATAATTGTTTGTTGTTCAGATAATATAATCAGTGCTCTCTTTAGAAGCTTCAGCAGAGTTGCTGATTTTCTGCATAAATCATCCGGTTTCAATATTCTTTTTTTTAATCATTTCGCTTTAGATGAATGCTGCCAATGTTGAATTATACTTTTTACGAGTATTTTTTGTAGTTTGAAGCGGATCGGCGCGCCATCATAATAACAATCAATAGTTTTGATACCGAATTATCTAAGGACGATCGAGCCAAGCTTTATCCACGATGTGGAAAGCTTTATCCTGAAGGTACATTTTTATTCTTTGACGTTTGATATCGAAATTTTTGAGATTCATTAAGATTATCAATTAAGGATTGGCTGGATTATCGAAGGCGGATGATTACGAACAAGTTAAGCAAGTCTGTGAATATTATTCGGACTATCGTGCGCTTTTTGAAGGATCTGGTTTACAACCGGGAGAAAAAGCGCTTGAAGACAAGTTTTTGGAATACGAAGTGAGTGTTGTATCATAATTCGTATTTGTTTTTTTGGACATACCAAACTAAAATTCCCGTTTTATGGTGGTGACAATAAGATCAAAATTTTGTGGTGACAGTAAGGTCCAAAATTCGGTTCAATTCAACTATTCATCAGATTTTTATGACTAAGTGAATTATCTTGTGAATATTTCCAGGTAAAACTGAACGTTTTATCATTCTTGCATCAATTCCATTTCGGTGTATTCTATGCATTCATCAAGCTCAAAGAGCAGGAAATGAGAAATATCATTTGGATCGCAGAATGCATATCACAAAGGCATCGAGCTAAAATTGATAATTACATTCCAATTTTGTGAAATTTCACTAATTTCTATAGTAGTTTTCCTTATTCCTTCCTCTTAATCATAGAAAGATTGTCTTGCATTGTAGTTCAGTTATTGTCAATTATTCAGCCTGTTTTCTTACGGAAAATACTTATGCATTAATTCAGCAGTGCATCTATTACGGGATTCTTTCCATGAACGCTAAAATTTTTATCGCTGCGATGAACTGATCTAACTTGCTATTTTCTTAATTAGTTAAAACTTTCTGTGACTGATTCCATTAATGTAGCAAGCCTTACATTGTCCAGCTTTTGTATATCCTAGTCATATGCAGTATTCTGTCCATACATTCCAATTTGTCATAATTCTCCAGTATTGATGGCATTTTCTACAGTCACTTATCTGTGAATGCTGAACAGAAACCGTAGAATGAAAAACATTTGCCTGAAAAGTGGTTAAAAAAGAATGAATTTCAAGATTTTGATGACTCAAACAGAAGAAATTTTGCTATCGCCACCTCGTGAATCAATCGTATATTGCTGGCTTCAACAGCAGATGTGCGAAAGTATGCATAAATCTCATGAATCATGTGCATCCGATATCTAGCTAAGGTTACACATGTGAATCAGAAGCTTGGAGTGCCGTTATTATTTATGACCAAGTTATAGATACTTTTTTTGTTTACTACTTTAAGAAAGGATTATATATAGCTCTGATCACAGTCAGTTTGCTTACTGCACTGCACTCGATGCTAAGTACTCTTGCCAATAATTTATAACGTTTTTTCAGTACCTCCCGAAGATTTTTTCATTAAAAAGACATCTACCCCCCTCTCCCTAATTTTACTACCAGTCATTGCCCAGGTTGGTACCCAGGCTTAGATTAATTATTGAGGCATACTTCTTGTCAAAACTTGTACCTTCGACTGCGATGTCATCAGTAACATTCAAAAGTCCTGGTGGAGAAACGATGGTCGTTTTATTACTACATCTCATTCTTACTGCCCCAAGTCCCTGGCAAGCGGTACTTTTTACCACTAACCTTGAAACGCATTGTTTGGTTTTTGGTTCACACTCACCATTATCTCATTACCGCACTTTGTCTCTGTTTTATTAATTAAGTCATCAGAAATCATATTATTCTCTGGATCTGGATATCTATCTTTTTACTTCAAGTAGTCTAATATTAATAAGAATTAAAGCTCATTTCGTTATCACTAACTGTACTATTTATAGTAACCACATGTTCTCCTCTCCCTTCATACCCATTGTTAAACTTATTTCCAATTATTCTGACCTATTTAAAATGGCATTAAAATGACATTTAATTATAACATTTAAAATTAAAATGACATTTGAAAAAAGTGGTGTTGCTAGATTGTTAATATTTAGTACACTTACAATTTCTTAAGGCATAAAGCTTTGCAGCCACTGCCTTTTGTTTTTGTTGTGTTATTTCTTCTAAATATTCTGTTAGCCCAAGCTTTTTAATATTATTTTCATTAATCAGAACAAAACATTTATCGGACGCTTTTTTAATAACAATATATTTTCCATTATTTAAGCGGAATAAAGCGGGAAGAATGCGTCGCACCAATACCAGGCCGTCCATGTTTCACAGGTTTGTATGTGATTGCGAATTCTCCCAAGTAGTAGCCAATCATTTCAGGTTTTATTTCGACCTGAAATCATGTAGATTAATTTCGCAGAATTCATAAATTATTTAAAAAACTGTTAAGTAATCGGAAAAGGAAGAAGAGATGAATAGAAGAAAGAACAGTAAAGATTTAATCGGAACAAATGTACTGTAACCAATTGGACTTCGAAGATGATCCACTTCAAAGTAGGTTTTTCGTGCAGCACCACCATATAGCACAATTTAAAAATGATCATACAAATGCAGCGTATGACACGGAGTGCATTGTGCATACAGTATCTTTGTGTATGTAAACAACTTCCAAATCAAAAATAGTACAGTTACATTTACCAAATGTCGATACACGTTGCCGGTAAAAGTATTCATGAACAATGATTATTCATGAACTCAGAAATATTGAAGTCTTTTAAACCACAGTTAATTCAAAGCCAAATTTAATTAAGTCCATTACCATTTTACGGTAGTCACTTTTTCACAATAAATCTGACTCTCCAAAGTTGACCAACATCAACTTACCATCTTGTTCAATTTGTAATAACAATATAATATATTTTCATCTCTTTACCCTTTCTCACATACAATCCGGTAGTGGTAAAACTAAGAGAAATTCTCATAAAAATATTTTCAGAAAAAGCCCACCTGATTGAAAACTTTTCCGTTATATACTCCCACGACTGATCCAACCATTTCGGGTAGTACAATCATATCGCGTAAATGAGTTTTAATTGTGGCTGGTTTTTCATGCAGTAAAGCTTCCTTCTTTGCTTTTCGTAACCGATTTAAGAATGCCAAGTGCTTACGTTTCAATCCACGAGCCAGACGCCTACGTGCACGGCAGGGCAACAATTTCGCCAGTTGGTCACTAAAAAATAAACTTCAAAACTTCCTGCATATCAGTAACTTTTCTTTGCTTAGCATTAGATCATTACGATAACTGGAGTTATTTAGAATCGTTTATACTAACAACACCACCTTGAGTCCATCAAACTTAAACTCATGACTACATAATCGACAATAATAATTAATTAAAACAAAAATAAATTTATCGATGAGCTCTAGACAATTAACCGAAGCTAAAAGAGGTGTAATATGAGGAAATCAGATATCAGCACAAAATAATCTTAAACACAAGTGACCAATTATCATTCACGAGACACAAAAATATACCGAACATGCTCATATATGGATCTCCAGCATAAACTCTTAAATTAACTGATTGCATTCAATCATATATTTTCTCTTTCACCGTTCCCTTCAACAACCCAATAAATGGTATTCTGTCTAATAGGTGGCAGAACTGTAATACTATCAGTAATTTTTACAGTCACTGCACCAGTAATTGGACAAACTCTACTTACTACTAACCGATTCAAATCCAAAAGTTGATCTAAATCGACTCCACGATACGTGAATTTCTTGAAGGTACGCTTCTTTTTCAACTCAGCAGCTGCGGCTTCATCCGTTTGCGACATTACTGCTGTGCAGCAGTTTACACAACAATAAACTCTGCAGTTAAAGAAACGATTTAGTTTTAGTATAATATAAAATGTTATCGCAGTAAAAACATGGCTTTGGACAACCTAAAAAAACTATTGCACTGCGTTATTCGTGAGTAGCACAAAAAAGCCTCAGGTCTCAACAGCAGAAAAATTAATTCGTCTTAAATTTTTGGGCAGCACTGATCCCAATTCATATTCCCTCCCACAAATTTAATTTGAAGAGTTGATAACTTGCATGGCCAAAGAGTAAACATCTCTTTATTCTAATAACTAAAGGTTAGCGTACTGAATTACTTAATTACTTCAATGAAAAAACATTCTGTTTAATAATAATCAAACATGATTGAATACACTCCCAGAAATTCCAACCAAGCCCAGAAGACAGTACCGCCAGTTAGACCTCACCGATCAAGCAGTTTGTATCATAAAATACTTAACCAACAGATGAATTAAACAGAGAAGTTATGATGTTCTCTTTGTTACTTGGAGCTGTGGACCGAACTACCTGATGATTATTTGGTTCTACAGATCGGATAGATGCTTATCTTGCTCTTTAGATACCACATCCTAACCACCCTAAAACTTAATTCCCCCTTACCAATATAAACAAGAATCCGTGCTGCGAACCGAATAGGCACCTAAAAGCTATGGTTTTTCGACCACGTCAAACTACTGTTTCGTCATGCCGGTAGCGATATGAAATCAGTTCGCCTTATTGAATGAAATAAAAGAGGAAGTCTAGAAAGTGGATCGATGCCGGCCTGTGAGATGTTTGGATTGGAGAGAAAAAGTAGCAACAAATTTTCCGTGGAGTTATGTAAATCACTTTATGTCATATAAAAAGAGCAAAGAATATATTTTGTCTTTTCGTTTCTTTTCTTTGAAAAGAGTTAGGATCAAATGATTGTTGTGTAAATGACTCGTGCTGACAGCATTATCTCTCTTACTTTATCACTATATCCTCATCGTTTCCACTACTTCTCTTCATTTTTTTTTGTGTTTATAGGATTGGAAATGGATAAATTATAGGTTATGCTGGAATGATGCATTTGCCAACAATTACAATATTTTTTCTAAACTTTTCATTTCAAACTAGTAATAGCTGTTCGAAAATATCAAAAAATACATGAGTGGGTTACGAAAGTTTCAAAAAATAGAGAATGGTTGGAAAGTCATTCAGACCGAAGCTAATAGAACTAAATAACCTCTTAACTTAGCCTAATGATGTACTCTCAGACTTGACTTCTCGTCTCCGTAATTATCTCTAAAGTTTATCTTACGGTTTCTGTAATAAGCAATCAAATCATTGGTCTCCGAGAAGCATCTAATGACATGTCCTAAATTGGTTAAATAAATACAGACTTTTATATTTAGTATTAATATTTATTTGGTATATGCATGTACGCACAAAAAATCGATTAAATAACTGACACTCCCAGAACACTATGAGTAAAATGATAATGAAGAGCAAATATTGAATATGTTAATAACATTGAATCATCGAGATGGAAAATGTGTAGTAAGTAGTTATAGTGTGATCCTTTTTCCGATTTAATTTCTAAATTTTCCAGTCAATTTTAATCTAATATTAAATTTAATTAGAATTCAATTCAATTTAATTGCTGTATTTCATCCTTTCGAGAAGTGTCTTATTTTCTCTTTTCTTCTCAACCTCTATTCTTTCTTTTATACACAATAATGTATTAGTTTAATAAACTATCCAATATCCTTAGAATGTATTAAATTTATCATATTTTCTATTGATTTAGTTTAACGTTGCAAATATTCTCTTCAATGGATGGATTCTTTGCAGAATTTCATTTCAAGAATATAAGAAGAGTAACTAAACATACTTCTTCCATTGGACTAAAATTGTTGGTTCTTATTATAACATTGGTCATTCTGTCCCTTTTCAGAGTTTCCTTTCTAACGATGGTCATTCTGTCTTTTCTCCAACGTTTCTTAAATTAACCAAACAGCTTTCTTTGATCTCAATGCTGCTTTTCTTAAAACAGATTAAAAGCTAAAAGAATAATAAATGAAAATAACAAAAAGAGAAAAATTTTCCGCTTTGTAGCTTAAAAACTTAAACTTCACAATTGAAATTTTTTACAAAAATTTTGTTTAAAAATTAATTTTCATAAAATTAGGTTAAAAGAAGAACAATAAGCAATTTCTATTCTCACATTGCGATGAATATTTTAACAATTTCTTTTTATCGTTCATTAATACTTTTCATTTGTCTATCTTTGTTGAAAATTTTTATTTTTTCATTGATAATTTCTTCCAATTAGTCTATCATTTCAAACATTCATATTTTTTATTTGATAAAAATAGTTTGCACATTTTGCTTCATTGCATAAAGTTTGCACATTTTGCTTCATTGTATAAAGTTTGCGCATTTTGCTTCATTGCATAAAGTTTGCACATTTTGCTTCATTGCATAAAGTTTGCACATTTTGCTTCATTGTATAAAGTTTGCACATTTTGCTTCATTGTATAAAGTTTGCACATTTTGCTTCATTGTATAAAGTTTGCACATTTTATTTCATTTAAAAGGATAAACGACAATGCAATCACTCATAAATAAGCGAAGTCAAAGATTTTGAATTCACATATTAACTAAATTTTTATTCATTGTTATTTCCCTGAAGTAAGTAAATCTCAAAAATTTTGGTGAAAATTTAAAATTTCCTCATTTTAAAATCATATAAGGATAATTGTTTATTCTTTTAAAGGGACATTATCAAATCACCGTAATTGAGCTGATCTCTCTACGTCCTATCTATTTTTATTTACAATTTAATCTTGTCATTTGTCTATCCATTAGCTTCTTTATTATTATTTAGTGTGTTCTGTGCAGTGTACTGTTAAATTAATTGTTAATCGGTCAAATGATTCGAATAGAAATTAATATTCTTTCTTACCACTACAAATTCGTTTGAAATTTCGATTATAATTTTGATTTCATGTTTTCATTTAATCAAATTCAATAACTCAAAATTAAATTAACTTTTATTTATCACTTTGAATTAAAGCTAAACTTTCTTTTATTTTGACTTTATATCTGTTAATAAGTAAATGAGATACATCTTCATCTTTTCAATTTTTTCTCGCTCTCCTAAAGTTCGATCATTTATTTTCTGGAATATTCGATCATTATTTTTTGACAACTAAAATGAATGATTCTATGATAGAGAGAAGAATTTTTTTCCGCAATGATTAAAATCAAATTTGCCCTATTATTTTTCATTGACCATTTCTTTTCATGCATGTCTTTAGTACGAAGACAGACGTGTGCAGGTAATTTATATGTATGTGACAAGGAGGCTTTTAATCCCTATACTTCTCTCATTATTTCTTATAAAAGCTTAAATAAGCTAAATAAGCTCCAATCGGAATTTTTCTGATCACGTATTTGAAAAAAATGAAAGAATCTTTATGGCGGTAATGGAACACTAATTGATTAAACATATCGATAAGGAAATCAGAAAAAGTAGGATATTCTAGTGATTCTAGAATATATGTTAGAGGGACTTCTTTTCTCTAGCATATATTCTAGAACGATTCATTTTAGTTGTCAAAAATAAATGGTCGAGCATTTCATAAATTTATTTTTTTCAGTGTCGGATGATGTTCATTCAAATTTTAACTTATTTTAGATTCCAAGAAAATGCTACCGTTGTGGAAACAAATGATGTTGTTGATGTGGAAAAGCACTCTGATTAGAAAGAGACAGAAAGTTTGTCATTCAATCTTTTTAATGAATGTAATGATTGAAAAGATCGAAGAAGAATTAAACTTTCATTTCCATCTTCATGTATCACTCGTTAACTTTTATCGCATTTCTCTCTTGTAGACGAGAAATTGTAGACGAGAAATTTAATGTCCTACATCTCTAATAATACTAAATTTTTTGAAGCATCGCTTTAAAATTCAAAGACTTTATTCAATTTTGCAAATGGAATATTTTCATTAACACTATAAAAGTGTATTTATCATGTTGATTACAAAATCTTCTTTGCAAGAAGTACAAAAATTTTGAACCTTCAAAATTTAATTTTCTAATTAAATCATAAAATCTGAAAAATCTCAAAAAAATATAGCAAACAAAAAATTTAAATCTTTTAGATCTGGTTGGCTGTTGAATTATTACTACCAGTTCTTCTATTTGGTATTCTTGCATTAGTGAGGACGAGAAATTTCACGGAGGCATATTCAACATGTAAGTGTTTCCAGATAAATCACTAGGCTAACGAATTGTTGGCTCATTTTTTGCTATATGAAGAACATAAATGATAATTGTCGAGCTAAGCGTTTCTCAAGAAAAGTGCATTGTGTTTGGGGGGCTAAATATGAGAAAATGATCCTTTATATGAAATTTTGTCAACGCTTATTTTTTATATCTCTTACTTATGAAGTTGCAATTTCAGGTCATTATGATGCTAAGGCTTTTCCATCCGCTGGATTAATGCCTTTTCTTCAGAGTTACTTGTGCTCTTTTACAAATCCTTGTTATAAAACTCCAACAACAGGTGACGATACCGCTAAAATTAATAGCGAAGCGCGCAAACAATCGCTGTAAGTACCAATAAAATTAATTCAAAACAAATTTTCAAATTGAATTTGGAATCTAAAATTCTAGCAACAAACCATTTGCATTAAAATAATTGTAAAAAAATCCCAAAAAAAATGACCTTTTTTTGTCGCCGAAATTTTTTGCTATATATATTTTTTTTCTTTTGGATTTTAGCAAAAGTTAGCATGAAATCGAAATTTGTTATTGCAGCATTGTTACGATTGCTAGAACAATAGCAGAAATTTATGTTGCGATAGGTTCGGAACCGATCAAATGGGCTAACTTATCGGATTCGATCATCTCGCTTATTGATATATTCGCTCATTTCACGTCACATGCCTTTCAAAAACCTATTCCTCTGGTTGCATTTTTCAATTCCGCTGATGACGCTGTCAAATTTTTCAAATCAACTTTAAATACCAGCGATGAATTATCTGTCAATTTAAGTCTTGTCCAAATTACACCATTTTATGTTTTGGAAATCATTAAAGAGGTTTGTTACTTCTTGATAAAATTGCACCAAATTATTGCAAGATGAAATGTTGCAAAATTCATTTTATTGATAGCCTGCCGTTACTATCACTTTTTCAATATCATAGGCATTAAACTATTTGAAATATGCTTTTGATGAGGACAATTTCAGATTTCAATCTTAACAGGCAATAAAAGATTCACTTCGATGAAAATCAATTTGTTGTGTAATTTGATGCATCGTACAATAAATTCAGTCCATCTGGAGGATATATTTAACTCAAATTTGTTGTGCGAACAGCTTGAAAGTGAAATATTGCAATATCTTATGCAACGTAATGCCAACGAAACAAATGCAATGATAATAAAAGTTTTATACAATGTATGTATGTTTTTCCATGCTTTTGAACAAAAAAACTTCTCTAATTTATTAAATCATAAATTTTAAATTTTAGACGGATACAGGCCAATGAATTCTTTATATAATATGGCTTATTAGAAGTGTTAATTTATGAAGACATTCAAAAGAGAAATTCAAAATTTCTATTAAATTTTCGTGAAAAAAAAACTAGGCTTTTGAAAATTTCCATAAATTTGCTAAGCAAATATTATATAATATTTGTATGTAAAAGCAGAAATTTGAACATTGAAAAAATGAAATATTGTAACAATTTTTAGTGGCTTAAATTTGCGTCAATAAACAATATGGGTATCAAATACGAGGAACTGCTGAAAATATTCAACACATTATATAGTTTTCGGAATGATCAAGTGATCAAAAAGTTCACTTCAATCCTATCAATGATTGATTTTAGTAATCACACTTCAATAATAAATGCGATACATTGTGGAAATAACCGTAAGTTTCCATTTCATAGTTGCAATGATTTTAAAGTGCTTAGAATGGCTTATGATTTCAATTTTAACGAAGTCGCAAATGTCTCAATACTTAAATCAACTTTTTCCATGTTCTTTTTTTTGTTTACTCTTCTATTATCAATTTATATGAATATGATAATTTCTTTGTGGGTGATAGTTTATCTTTTTGAGTCCCTTTTATAGTTTTTTTTTTGTTTATCAAGTAGTTATTTTAGTGCTACTACTGTAATTATTACAATTCCTAGAGTCTTTAAAGTTTTAAATTGGCTGGGTACTTTTTTTGGATCTAATCAGAAAATACAGTCGTTATGGTGTTAGACTTGTAGTTTTATTTTTCTTTTTACTTATCGCAAGGTAATATTTTCTGCAAGTATGAAAATTTTTTGTTTACAACAATTTCAGCTCGAGCTAAATTAATTCTACTTTAAATGCATTAAGTAGATTCTAAAATTTATTTAGCTTATGATCAAAGTTGGTATGAGGGGAAATCCATTCCTGCCACAACAGCAACAGCTGCATACAACGCTGACAAAGATGAAATATATAATTTCTTGCGTCGTATGACACCTCAACATGCTGAATGGCATGATAAGAAGAAGCAGTTTTGTGGTATCATTCCGATTCATTCAGGTACTTCGATCATATTTGAAATACAACCAACTGACGCTCGGCATTTACTGTTATACTACATTACTTTATTTTTTTTAATGATGAAAGTAGTATATTACAGATAACTGTTCATTCCTCGGAGATGCGGCTTTGTCACAATTAATGCCGTTGATCAATGGTTACATTTTATTGGCTCCTGCTTCTCCTGTTATTAATGCATTTGCTGAAAAGGTGATGTCATGGTGGATTTGCAATATTTCAGAATCATGCAATATTTCAGCAATTTCAGCAATGTAGGATGATGAATATCATCATCCGACATTGCTGAAATTTGCCTGAAATTACCTGAAACATTACTATCAAGGGGTTAGCTATATGACCGCTTTGGAATCATATCTGATAAACTTATTAACAAATTCATTCATATCAATGTCTTCTTGCTCACATGAAGCATCTGCCATTAATATTCCGCCTTACCATATACTCAAATTTTGTTACCCTTAAACCATGATAAGCTTATTTCCACTGATATACTACTTCAGGTAAGGGCAAGTTGCAGAGTCAGTGAATTCAGAACTTTTTCATGCGCGCAGTTTTTGAATTGTATGTTTCAGATGTCGGAATCATTTCGATGGACCAGTTTACTGCGCAGTTCAATTATTAATTTCAATCGCCTCGCACCACCTTTACAGGATGCTTTATTTGAAAGCAAACTTCGTCCAGCCTCTCAAGTATTTGCAAGAAAATTTATAAATAATATGAAATTATTGTTTGGAGAGGATTTTCTTTAAATTTATTAAGTAAATTTTAAGTTTTAAAAATGTTTCCAATTTTTTGGCGCTTTTTTAATCTTATTTGATAAAATATTTGTAGAACATTATAAAACTTCTGAAGCTGCTAGGGAAGTCGGATATTTTAAATAGTGATTTGGTAGCATCTCTCGCGTCAACATTATCGGATATGTTCAATATTTCATCTCATCCATCATCCTTGCTTATGCGCTTTAGATTCATAACGCTTAAATTGGAAGAGATTTTTCAGGTATCCATTAATAAACACAAATTTAATAGTAGAGATTCTTGAAATGTTTCCGAATCCGAAGCTTTCAAGTGATATTTAATAATTCAGCAGTTTCGTATCTTTATTCATCTACTTTAGTGCTTTTTATTGGATCGTTTTATTGTTGTTTCCAATGAGGAGGAAATGATCGATCGTGCTTTGTGTTTAATGGATTACAAGCAATACATGGCTGGAATTGTTTTCCTTCATATCAATGAAACTTCTACAAACTTTCCACCCGTAATGACTTACAAAATTCGCTATCCACCTAATTATATTGATTGTAAGTTTGATGATTATATTTAAATTTTTGTTTAAATTTTTAAAAAAGTTATAACTTTCTTTAGTTGAGTGTACTGCAGTTTGTCATGTTTACAGCAACAAAAGAATTAATGGATTCTCGTGGTCGTCAGACATCACGTGATAATTATTTGATTGATTTAAAATATCACACATTTGGATTTAGTTTTCTTCAAGAAGCTGTTGATAAAATTTTCATTGAAAATGCTACTGGACAAAATTATTTGACGGGTTTGTTCGCGCAACAAGAACCATATCAATGTGTTAAGATTGATAAGTATGACCTTAAATTCATATCATTATATCAGTTCAAGAATTCACGCAATCGTAAATTTTTTTCATAATTTTTTCATGAATGCTTAAGAATCTATTAAAGATTGAATGGAATAAACGGTTTAAAATATTTGCAAAAAATAATGAATGAGAAAAATAATAGAAAGATGGAGAAATTGAAGTAAATAATTAAAAACATTCGAATATATTTTGATCCTTTTTTTTCAGATTCTATGTGCTGAATTTTTTGGGAATGTTTGTTATTCTGTCGTGGATGTTACCCTCAGCATTACTTGTCAAAAATATTGTTTATGAGAAAGAGGCTCGATTGAAGGAAATGATGAGAATTATGGGTCTTGGTGATTCGATTCATTGGATTTCCTGGAGTTTCCATTCTTTCATAATTATTTTCATTTCAAATATCTTCATTTGTATTTTGCTTAAGGTTTGTACTAACGAAACGAAAATACTTCAGTTTTAAATAATATTCCAAAATTTTCTTCCAAAACAAAGATTTTTTTCTATTTCAAAATAATAATCAAATATAAGGGGAAAAAAAGAAAAATTGTTGTGATATTTCTGGAAGCAAATATTCCGTTACATCTGTATCAGTATTATGGTTATAAGTATTTCGATTAAGAGAGAAGTTATGAAGAGTGAACAATAGAAATTGAGCAATGAAACAATTTTTGTTTGAAAACGCATTTTTTTTTATAGTGTGAAGTATTTAATAAATTTAAATTTCAGTACGGAAAACTTTTGCCAACAACAAATTTCTTAGCTCTGATAATTTATTTCACATTCTTCTCAATAGCTTGTATTGCACAATGTGTCTTCATTTCAACATTATTTTCTCGAACAAATATAGCATCAGCTAGTGCTGCTGGCTTATTTTTTCTTTTGTTCTTTCCGTATCAAATATCTTTCCGGACCCAATCATCAATTTTTATAACAATTACAGTAAGTGTTTATTGGAGCGATTATTTATATTTTTATATTTTGGTAAAATAAAATAACTCAGTATTTTCTTGAAAACCTCTTGAAATTTTCATCGTTTTATTTCTATATATTTTTTTTGTTTTTGTTATTTTCAGTTAATTTTTCCTCAAACTGCAGTAGCATATGGTTTGGAAATGATCTATCTAGCAGATAACAATTATATCACTGATTGGTCATCGCTTTTTTCCATTCATGTCACCGGTTAGTGGGAGATAGGGAGAGAGATCAATGGAACAAAAAGAATGAATTTTTAAATGCTCTCACAAAAAATAAAATTATCATTTCGATTTATTAATTAATTATAAAGAAGAGAAAGTATCTCACATAATCGATAAATATTCTTGCTCGAAATTAATTTTATTTAACATTTTAAAGTTAATGGAAACTTATTCCATGAGTTAAATAATAGTGGATGTATGAAATGCTTAAAGTTTCAGCTCTCCCCAATAAATCAATTAATTGTATTTATGCTATCACAGAAATTGTTTCATTTAAAAATGCTCATGCAGAATGTACCGTTGTTCTTATTTAGTTTACTCAATTAAGATTTGATAACAATTCTGTAGGAATCATTAATTATAATAATTCATGGTGGTTATTTTAATAAATTTTTAGTCGGAAAATTGAAATTTTAATTATGACAGGATTACCCATTACTTTATCGACAGTACTAACAGCACTTGCATTGGATACATTTCTCTATATTTTTTTGGCTTGGTATATCAATATTGTTTTTCCGGGTAAATTTTATACTATCTGAATTTCAATGAGAATTCCTAGTGGCAATGATTTAACAATTTTTCTAAATCATAATTCTGATCATTGCTATTCTCCAACACCTATGATAATAAAGACTTTAAACGCAGGTGCTTATGGTATTCCACAACCATTTTATTTTTTCATCACTACACGGTACTGGTTAGGTGATGATTATGTAATGCGATCTGTATCATATGCCGATTCTAAACCTCTTATCGAAGCATCAGGTAAAAACTTAATCTTATATGGTAAAAACTTAAAAGCAAGTAATTTTGTATCTTCATTTCGAGATTTAGCTGTCGATATCTTATTAATTATCATCATTATTTTGATTATTAACATTTTTAAAATCATCATCATACACTGCAGATAATTATGAGCAGGAACCGATTGATTTGAAGCTTACGGTTGACATTTGTAATCTTGTCAAAATCTATGGGAGTGGAACCAAAGCGGTAAACCACAGCTTTAATTTTAGCGCAATGAATGACTTTGTTTAAGTTAACAGTTTGAATTAAATAGACAAGGACTCCTTGACAAATCAATATATATCAAAAGCATATGAGTAAAATCGACTGGGCTCATATGTATCAGGTTTTATAAAATAAGACTATTTTCTTGACTGTCTTGAATCATTCGAAAAAATTTGAATAAGCGTATCTTTGAAAAATATCATTAGTTATTTTAGTTAGACGGGTTGAATATGCGATTCTATGAATCACAGATAACCGCTCTACTTGGACATAATGGCGCCGGAAAAACAACAGCTATGTTTGTCATCATTCTTCTTTCTTTTGAAAATTTTCGCAGTTGTAGAAAAATGATGTCAAGCTAAGAAATAGAAGAAACTTCTTAAATCTCTCGAGAAAAAAATGATTTAAAATAATGCTATTAGCAATTTTAGTTCAATTTTAACTGGTTTATCACAGCCAACATCAGGTGCAGTATTTGTTTATGGTTTAAATATTCGAAAGCATATGAGTATCATACGTAGTCTCATTGGTGTATGTCCACAGTATAACACACTCTTCGATAAGTAAGTTTCATTTAAGCTTCTATTTTGATTGAACTTTTTAGATTACTATGCATGGCCAGTTTTGTCAGATATCCAGCATTTGGATATTCTTCCAATAAATAGGCTTGTTGACAATATCTTTGTTTTATTGGTTACTAAAGTCATTAGTTGTTTTACCTGTCATGCGTTTCTTTGCTGCTTCTACTTTCAATGATAAACTGTTTTAGATTGACTGTCACTGAACAATTGAAATTTTATGGTACTTTAAAAGGCATTCCAAGTGATCAACTTAATGATGAAGTCTACAATACCATAGAGAATCTTGGCCTAAGCGCTTCAAGAAATAAACTTGCTGTCTATCTTTCAGGCAATTTTCATAGTAAATTCTTTGTAAGACAAATAGTGTTGCATAATTGTAATGAAATAACATTTTACATTAAATTTTTGCATAATACAATTGCAGGTGGGATGAAGCGTAAGTTATGCATTGGTATTGCTTTAATTGGTGGTTCAAAGTTGGTAATTCTTGATGAACCTACGGCAGGTGTGGATGCACATGCACGGCGTTCTATTTGGGATATACTGATTAGAAACAAAAAAGGTTTGCTTTCACTTCTAAATTTTTAGCTTATGATTAAGAAAGGGTTAAACCATACATAAGCAACTACGCCAAATGCTTATAAACTTATTTATTTGAATTTAAAATAGCTATCTTGCGATGTTAAAAATCAGACGAAGTTATGATATATTTTTGTAAATTTTCCTATTTGTGGAATGACTTGATACACGGAGATTTCAACAATTGATCATAAATATTTAAATTTAGAAAGAATAAGCAATCTTTTCCAGGACGTACAATAATCTTATCAACGCATCATATGGATGAAGCAGACTTGTTAGCTGATCGTATTGCTATTGTATCAGAGGGGCAACTTCAGGTTGCAGGCTCACCATTATTTTTTAAAAGGAAATTTGGAAATGGCCTATATTTGAATATTTCAAAAACATCGGTATTATTTTTACAGCTGCTTTTGAAATTTAATGAAATTTAAAATGTAACTCTCGTCGTCCATTTGTCAATGGCATGCGATTGAGAGTATTGAACTTCTCTGAAATTATGTATCCAATATATGCATCATTTCATATCTCCCTAGTTGTATGTTACTCCTTCACAATTATTTTTCAACTTTTCAGAGTAGTGCAGAAGTATTTGGAAGTTCTGTGGAAAATTTTTTGATGAAACAGACTGATGGAAAATGTGTAGTTGTGGAACAGTATGAAAATGAAGAATTGTACCGCTTGCCTATCAATTTAACTGCCTATGAATTAAAAGAGTTAGGTTTTTATTTTAATTGAAAAAATTTATGTTTAAAATATTTATGTTTAAAATATTTGCTCTTATCTGCGGTAGAATAGCGAGCTTTTCGGAAATATTTCCAATTAAATAAATTTTACCAAATTCTTCCTTTTCCATTGTTTCTTCTTTTATTTTACCCTTTTTGAGTTAATGCATAGTTTTTGTTTTTCAGAATTACTTGACTTTTGTATACATTTACAAATGTAAATTAATTATAGGTTGTTTGAAAAAATTGAAAAAGCGAAACATGAATTAGATATTTCAAATTACAGTATCACCTCTCCAACACTTCGACAGGTAGATTATCACTTCAAATTTAGCAGTTTCATTCTTATCAATTAATATGATGAGATGCTTGGTTCTAAATTAAATCCTCCCAGCAAACTTTGTAAATTAATTAACTGATTCTGAAATTTTGCTGTTGAAAAAAAAACTGAGGATTTAAGAATTTTTTGAATATGTCTGTTTTTGAATCTACATTCATTTTTCTTTTTGCAATTTTTGCAATCAAACCTTAACTTATTTATCAACTTTCATGGAATAGCTCATTTTTTAGAAATATCTTACAGATTTTTATGCAATTAGCGCCAGCTGAACAAGCATCTCTGAAAAAGAGTTACGATGGAAGTTGTTGTCCCAACCTTGCAAAGAAATTTCGTGGCCTTCTATGTTCTATCGACAAAAACTTCCTGGATAATTCTAGAAATTTATTACTTCCAATATCTGTAACAGGTGTAAATCAATAATTACAACCCATTATCCTTCATTTTATCGCTAATCATTTTTCACATTTTAACCAATATTTACGTTGAAACAAGTGATCAAGTTTCCTTAATATTCTTTGAATGATTTTATGAAATTAATTAAGATTAAATTCGATGAGAAAAATATTTCCAGTATTGAAGATGTAAATACATTTCCAAATTGACAAAATATGAAGTCATCTTGACATTCACTATAACTATAACTCTTTTCAGGTTATGAGCATCCAGCCGTGGAATATGTGCACAGTGAAAATCTTTTACGAAAGCAACATTTTAGAACCCTTATCAATAAACGTTTGAATGAATCCAGGCGGAGCATTATAGTTATAATCGTTCAGGTTTGAGGCGGAATATTTTTATCAATTTAAATGGTGCCAAAAATTGACTTCAAGTTACCTTTCCGATGTAAGACTGCATTTAGTATTAGAGCCATAACATAGATGTTTGAGCAATGTTAACCGTGGTCATGATAACAATCACAAGGATGTTGTCATTAACTTGTCCTTATAATGATTCTGTTTGTGAATGGATTTGCAATTTCTCAATTTGTATTACCAACACTGAATACCTTCAGTTTTTGTTACCAATCTTTTTGGTATTTGGAGCCGAAATGTACAGTAAACTTAGTAAACATTATTCAAGCTATAAGCCAGAAACAACATCTCCTTTGGAACTGATTAGCGGAATTTATGGAAATTGGACATTAAGTTATTTCAGGTTTGATTTCCATATGAAATAATTCATTGCATTAAATGATTTTTCTTCTTATAAGCCAAACCGATCTCTTCTAAATTTGATTGTTTTAAATTACGTTTGAGGAAGTCTTAAGTGTCTTACTACTGCAATCAATAATTGATTACCATAAACGCTCTAATCGTTGCGCAAAGGCAGGTGAGTTAACATTTTAGCCTGGAAAATCAAAATAAAGCTACAAAAGGCAAAAATTATCTAAAAGCTATGACAACATTTCCCGGGACTGATGTTCGATGCGTTAATCATAGTCCTCTCAGGTAAGTGTTGCTATCATTACAAATTCAAATCTAAAATTCAAATGTTTCGAATTTTAAACTGTTTCCCAAATGCGAAGTTTTAAATCAAATTTTTTTTGAATTTTAGTCCAGCTTTGGATGGAACAATCTATCCTTGCTACATCAATGCCACTTTCTTGACAAATCTCAGTTTGCCATCAAAATCAGCTCCTTTTAACGTCCCACAAAAGTATGTTTCGTCTCAATTAGTGCTTTCGAATAATCAATTTAAAGAATTGGTTGGATTGTTCATCAATTTTTATTGAATAATTAATTCGAGAAATATTTTGTTTGAAATGGGATAAAAAAAGAAAGAAAAAAGACCTAAGAGAGCAAATAGTGGCAGTAAGCGAGTGTAAAAAGGTATATCCAATCTATTGATTAATTATTCAAATATTTTAAAATAAATAGCTAATCATTATTTCAATTAAATCTCAAATTTCAAACTCTATGCACATCTCGTAGAGTTTGAAATTTGAAATTTAATTGAAGATTTTGTTGTTGTTTTTTTGAAGATGCGGTTGTGATTCATCGGGTTGGAACTGTACAACAGCAAATGATTTTAATTATGAATTAACTAATATAATACTTCCAACTGCTAATATAATCTATGACGTTACTTATCACAATATTTCACAGTTTCGATTACTCACTTCTGATTTGGCTTTCAAAAATCAGTTTTTGTTAGTTATCATTCTTTTTTATGGCTCGAAAAGATTTCAGGCGATAGTCTTTTATTTATTGAACTTTACTTTTTCAATCTGCTATGTGTTGTTCATTGTATCGTTATCAACAAGGAAGTAAATCTGTTGGATAAATAATTATCCTAATTATAAGCACTGAGTATTGTTAATTGTTATCCAATACTTTCATTACTTTTAATTATCCTTTGATGAAAAGCGAGCTATTTGCACTCATTCAATACGGTATCTTATAATTTTGGCATTTTAAATGAGAACATTTCTCATTAAATTCAAATTTTCACAAAAACTTAATTTTTAATGCATTGATTTTACACTTAATTTCTATATTTTTAAGCATTGGCGGTTGGCAATTTGCGCAGTTCAGCGTAGTTGCCTTAAATGATGCGGAAAAGTTATGTGCGCAAATTGGTTGGCATGATTCATGTAAGTATTAGATTTTCGATTTTTTAAGTTTGTTTTTGAAAATAGTTTTAAAAAGAAAACTTCATAGTAATAGAATTTTAATATTACATAGGAGCTTGAGTTGAATTTATGAATTCTTAGCCATAGAAGTTTTGTTTGTTTTTTTATCCCTTTCTTCAACTTTATTTTAGTGAATTATATGAAAAAAGCATTAAAAGTATGGAACATCGACTGGCAGCATGCTGTATCCAATGTAAGCTTTCTTGAGGATCCATTCAAACCTCGGAATAAGACTTTCGAGGATTTTATTGCTATTTTAATTGCAAATTTTGACAGGGAAGAGAACACCAAGGTAATTTTTAATTGAAATGTTTTACAGGGATATTTGAAATTCTAAGTTTGTTGGCATCAAATACCTTTTATTAATAGTACAAAAATGATGAGAAAATGCCAATGCTGCTGGAATAAAAACACATAAAATTTGGAAAATTATACAAAGAGTAATTCTTTTGTGATAAGATGCTTTGGTCATAGTAACAGTAATGATTACAGTATATTAATGAAAATAATAATAATCCCATCAGATTATGCTGTTTTTTTTGTGATCCTTGGAATTATGTTTCCGTGGTAGCACTGCTATCGGTAGATTCTCTAATACCAAGTAAGAAAAAAAAATCGCTTATACTTTCTATTCCAGGAATTGAATTTGAATCATTCATTCATTTCAGTTAAACTAATGTATTTAGGCAGTGCTGAGAACACGGAATATGTTTTCCTTAGCTAATTATTATCTTATTCGTTAGCATCCTTTAATATTGAAAAGAATAAAAAAATTTTGAAAAAAAAAAACATCGATTAGGTGATTCTTGATCATTATAGAATTAAAAGAATTCGATCTTTGCTTATCATGAAATTGAAAGGAGTCGATCTTGGTACGTAAATGACAAAATAAATGCGGATACATGGGAATGGAATTAATAAGTGCTAAAAATGATTAGGAGAAACTACTAATGCTTATCAGTGGACAGAAAGAATTGAAGAAAAATTTATAGAAGGAGTTGAATGAAGAGGGAAACGAAGAGTAACTATCAAATCTAACGTGTCACAGCGGAAATGGATCAAAATCATTGCAACTACATTGCGAAAACAGATCAAAATCATAGCGATTACATTGCTAAAATGAATCAAAATCATAGCAACTACATCGTGGAAATGGAATAAAATCATAGCAATTACATTGCGGAAATGGATCAAAATTAGAGCAATTACGTTGCGGAAATGGATCAAAATTATAGCAATTACATTGCGGAAGTGAATCAAAATCATAGCAACTAATCGACATAAATGAAATTAATATATTATAATGCTTTAATTATTACTTGCAAAATTACATAATCAAACATACTGATAAAAGAAGGAGATGTTCGAATGAAGCAGTAAATTTTGAACAAAATTCTAAATTTAATGAAGCGTTGGAAAGGAGTGTAACACCTTGGCAAAACAAAAGGATAGATAATGAAAAGGTCACTGTTTGGACTAATGAAATGGAGAAGGAACTAAAAGGAGAAAATTAATGATTGGTTAATCTTAAGCCGAAATAAAACGGATGAATTCTGACTTGGAAATCTCGGGTATCTTGCTGCAGGCGATCGAGTGAAATAGAAAGACGATTGTCCAAATCTAGTGCAGTAACAGTTAAAGTTGTATTCCATTTCTTCATTCCTGCGAAAGAAATCTCCTAATATTGCTAGCTCTTCTGTAAATATCTTCTATATGTGAATCCATCTTTATTATTTATCGATGGGTTTATCTTTCGTCTCATTAAATCTGAGACAATTTCTTTTCTGCTCAGCTGAAAAGAAATTCATCGAAATTGACAATATTGAAAACACGGAGAAATAATCTATTAGTCAATGATTTCTGGTATTTATGCTCGATATTTGCAGTGCAAATATGGAATATTTGAAGGAGAAGCGCTATTATTTGTGATTACAATGACATTTTCCATCAGAGTATTGAAGGGAAATATGAGTAAAGATATGGAAGAGGTGAACTGAAAGTATTTATCAACAATATATTACTGGAAATAAAAGCGGAAAAATGTGCAGCAATGTCGATAAAAAAGGATAAAATAACACACTCACTCTAATGGGGTCAAACATCACAATCATCACAATTTTGTAAAATAATGACATTTATTATAGCAGCGGAATGAAGCGGAAGGAAAGATTGTTTGTGAAGTACTTGACAAAGAAATGTAAAAATAAGTAAGTGGGAGATGATAAATGTAATAGGTTAGTTGTATTGCGCAGGAACTGATCATTGAACGCGAAGTGAAACGATGTTATGAATGCAAAACGTTTACTGCTTATTATTCCTTTAAAGAAATTATGTCGAAAATTTGTTGAAGATAGGGGTAAATTATTAAGAAAGAAAATGGTCATTAGTTATATCAATAAAAATTAATGAATTATATTGCTGATAAAAAAAGTAATAATTCAGGTGTTCAAGGAAATACACTGGCATAATTGTAATAGATGCTGAAGTTATGGAAATTTGAGCTAAGCCATAAGAAATAATAAACTTAGATATAATAAAAAGACATGACCAGTCTTAAATTGAATTACTTATTGAATTGATGGTATGGTGAAAATATGTTTAAGATATGGTTCAACAATAAATTATGGCATTCATTGCCTATTTCCATCAATGCTTATCATAATGCAATTTTACGCTCTCATAGTTCATTAGATCCTGCAAATATTGGAATTCTCACTTATTCACATCCAATGAATTATAGTTTATCGTCATATATTGATGGTATTCCATTGTAAGTTATCATTTAATATACAATAAGTGAGATTACAAATAACGATCCGTTTCCATCTTGTAACCATTTAGTATTTCCCATAGGCTAATCAACTCCCCAGTGATTTCTATGTACCTGAAACTTGTAACGACATATATACATATTTGTTCCCATAGCACTGATTGTACATACTAGTGTTTTTCAAGCACTGTTCTTCGTTAATTTCGGAAATTATCAATTGATTGCTGCAAATTATCCAAGCTAATTTTTTGAGAAGTAAGTTGCAATAGCAATCAAAAAATTGGGATGAAATTATATAACATTTTTCTTCAATTATTTTTTATTATAAGATGGACAAATTTTTGCTTGATTATCACTAAAATGATTTCAGGATCAGGATTATGTATTTCCGAATAATTTTATTACTATTAGCTGTTTCACTTGCTACTGCATGCTTTTGCTTGCCACTTGTTGAAGAACGTGTATCCCTTAGCAAACATTTACAAATGATCTCGGGCCTTACGCCTTTTATCTATTGGCTTGCCAATTCTTTCTTTGATACTGTAAGTTTCCAATTCAAAATTGATTGTATATCTTTCGTTAGATCTAACTTAGAATGAAATTTCATAATAAAATAATTATGATGTATTGTTTTTTTACAGATAGCATATTTAATAGTTGCTGCTATTATTGTTATTTCATATAACATTATGGAGGTGGATCATTTTATTATCAGTCCTTTTTATTCCGCTTCACTTTTTTTCCTACTATTTTGTTCTGGGTAAGTTTTCCTTTTTACAAATATCTCAAAAAAAATCCTGAATGTTTAATTAACGATTTTATTTATTTTAATTTAGATTGTCACTAATTTCTCTTACCTATTTGTGTCAGACACGATTCAGTCTACCATCACTGGCATACATTGTTATTGGTGTTGGATTCTTTTTCATCGGAGCAAACTGCACTACTATAGTGATCTTCTTGGAGTATCAACTGTTGAAGGTTAGAAAAGGATAGCATAAAATTTCTTCGTTTACTTTCTTTTGAATTTAAAATTGTGAAAATCATTCTTTTTCTATGCAAATTTTAGAAAGATTTTTAAATAAGATTTTTGGAAATATTGGATTTAAAAAGTATAAAAAAATATTATCCTTTCTTTAATGTGTCAAGATAACATTCAGAACGATTCCTTAGGTTTATTTTTTTCAAATTTAACATTTCCAGGATGAAGCATTAATAATGGCCTATAAAATTTGTAGTATATTATTTATGATACTTCCTCATTATAACCTTGGAATGGCTGCTTACCGATTGAGTTTCCTTGGTGTCTTGCGAATGCGAAGTGAACTGTATCTTAGTATGTTTCACCACACTTATGAATTTCATCACTTCAAACTAACACTTAACACTTTCTACGTAATGGTGCCATCAAATATTTTTTATCAAATTTGTTCAGGAGAGATACTATTAAAATTGTCCGAATCATAAATGCTTTTTTACTATTTTAATTCTATCATTTTATCTTATCTTTGTGTCATTTTTCCACTATTGAACCATTTAAATTTCAGAAGATATAAATCGAGAAGATCAAATTAAACATTTACCATTACCCAATCCGCTTGAATGGCATTTAATGGGAAAGCATTTGTTGGCACTTATTATAGAAATTTGTTTCTATGTTCTGGTTTTACTCTTAACTGAATATCGCCATCCTCTGAGCTCATGGATAAGGTCATCGATTTAGCGGCAGTTGTGAGCGCAATAGTTAGACTACCAAAGGATGACAATACTTTATTTAGTCTATTGTTTGAATAGCGAATAATCCATTTATGATTTAAATTTGTAGCAAAGGAAATCGCTGCTGCTAATAAATTTATTGAATTATTCGAAATTTTTTTTTAAAGAAAATGAACAGAATTTGGTAGATATGATTTTGCAAAAAATACATCTAATAGGCAACTCTCAGATTTGTGTTATCAGCAATGTGATGTGATAGCGACAGGGAGCAGGAATAAGATTAGAAATGGGCAGTTAATCGTTTGGAATTTATGGAATTGTGGAAATGCATTGATAAATTCGATTGATAATGCTGAAGTGTCTGTAGGCATCGAGAATTTGTGCGAACAATGCAATTGGTTGCTAGCACAGAAGAGTTTGAACTTGATGAAGATGTTGAAGTAGAACGTGTACGGGTGAATGCGTTAAGTTCAGAACCAAATGACGATCACAGACTGATTGTTAATGGTATATCGAAGGTATATTAATTTTAATCAGTTGTTATCACTTTTTGCAGTTGAAGATTGCTAACAACCCACAAATAACTCTAACGATCTTTTAGTCCTATGATGGAAAAACATTAGCAGTTCATAATGTTTCATTCGCAGTCGAAAGTGGTGAATGTTTCGGATTATTAGGTGTGAATGGAGCCGGTAAAACTGCTATGTTCCGCATATTGACTGGACAAGTATCAAGTGGTGCTGGAGATGTACTTATTAACAGTAAAAGGTTTTTTTGCTTCAGAAAATTTTGTATGAAATTCGTACTTGAGGCAAGAAAAAATGGAACTTTGTCTTTTTTTGCCATTTATTTTTTTGTAGACTTTTATAAAGTAAACATCGTCTATGATAATTATTATAATTAAGTGTGTTTTTAGAAGAAGCAAATATCGGATCCTACAATATTTCCTCATAGAAGAATTCAGTTGAGCGATTAAATGCTATTTATAATAGAACCAAAGATTTATTGAATAGAATAAAAGAAAACGGTAACAATTTTTTTAGTATTCAATGTAAGAATTCAAGTAGTTTGGGGAGTTATGGCTATTGTCCACAATTTGATGCGTTAAATTCAAAATTAACAGCAAGAGAACATCTTCGTTATTATTCGCTTCTTCGTGGTATTAAAAAGGATAATGTGGATATGGTAAGCTACCCCCTATTACATGATAACTTTGATTTCATTCAGTTTTGAGCTCAACAAATTTAGATTTTTAGATATTCAATCTATTTGTAGTATCAAATCGTTGATGAAGCTAGCTGTGGATTTTAATCTAAATTTGGTCAACTTAACAGTAGTAACGATTTCTTCTTGACTTGTTTAAAACTTAGAAAATAAATGTTTGGCTACGCTTCGCATGTCATAGTCATTGTTATTCGGACAATTCGAAATCAAGATTGATTCAGCGGAAAATATAGCACAGTGGAATATTGGCTTTTTGTAATTTTAAAAATTTATCATTTGCTAACAATTTTAGGTGGTGAATTGGGCACTGAATGAGTTGCAACTGAATCCCTATGCGGATGAGATTGCTTCAAATTATTCGGGTGGTAATAAGCGCAAATTATCGGTTGCTATTGCTCTGATTGCCGATCCGCCATTATTATTGCTTGTAATCTCATTTTCTCATTTTTAAAAAAAAAGAAATAGAATAAAACTGACTCAACTAATTAAACCATTTAATAAACATTTCGTTAGTCTATAATTCTTGGCTATATCGTTCTTTCTTCATATTTCATTATATTTTAATGATAATGAAATATGAATGGACAAATATGGTAAATTTGCCGCACAGCTGCCTCATATGAGCTACATGCTTTCCTATCCTTCATAATCATTTCTTTTCACCACGTTCCCAATTTCAATTTTCAATTTTAAGTTTTTGAAGGATGAGCCGAGCGCCGGAATGGATCCGTTAGCACAGCGTTTCATGTGGAATGTTTTATTAGCGCTACGAAAGAATAAGCGTGCAATGGTGATAACATCACACAGCATGGAGGAATGTGAAATACTTTGCAATCGAGTGGCAATAATGAATCATGGACAGTTTCGTTGTGTTGGATCTGTTCAACATCTGAAACATAGGTCATCCTCTTTTCTTCACCAACAATAAGCGGGTGAGAAGGAGGGACATGTTTCGAGGAATTTCATTACCTCATCCTGATATAGAAGAACTTCACTACCTCGTCCTGATTTGAAGGAACTTCACTATCTCATCCTGATTTAGAGAAACTTCACTATTTCATCTTAGTTTAAAGGAACTTCATTATACCATCCTGGTTTAGAGGAACTTCGCAATCTCATCTTGGTTTAGAGGAACTTCATTATCTCATCTTGTCTTCTCTATTTCATTAGCTTTACATTTAAGAAACATGTTGAATACTGCTGTAGTTAAAAGTTTTTTCCTGCCGAAGAAAAAAAAGACTTATTTTTTAATTTATGTTACTGTCATGAGTAGTTCCACTCTGTCATTACTCACTATTGTTACTTGTGAAAAATAATCGGTTTAACTCGTCACATTTAACATTTTCCATGTCAAAAGCTATTATTCACTCGAATATTTATACAGGATATTTCAGTAACGAGTAATATTTTACTGCTATTTCAATGTTAACTTTCTAATAAGTATATTATTATCAAATAAAAGCTGTACATTTCCCAACTATTGATTTTATGATGTTTTGCAGATTTGATAAAGGATATACATTAACAATTAGATTATCAACGAATAAAAGTATCAGTGAAATTCAAAGTTCCATGGAGATCCTTCTACCTGCTGCACGAGTAAGTCTTCAAATTACTATACATCAAAATCTCAACACATTTGTGGACGTTAAAATTCTCGGCTTTAATGATTATTTCTTTTTTTATTCATACTCAGTTCCCAGTACACGGTTACAGTCATCTCAGTGTTAATTTTCTAATAAGTATACTATTTCCAGTTGGAAGCTGTACATTTCCTTACTATGTTTTATCAGATTCCGAATGTATCTTGTACAATTGCAGATGTATATGATGTGATATGCAAGGTTAGTTTTCAAACTAAATCCTGAAAAAAATTAAATTATTCGACTGTTTTTGACTGAACCAAAATCATTAGTTGTTTAATGAAATAAAATGGGAGACTGAAGAACTTAATTAAAAAAGCTAAGCTAGTCTGATTTTGACGTCGATGGAAAATTAAACCGAAATTTAAATTTGTTAAATGAATTGTTAATTACAGACAACATAAATATGCTCGAAAGTATATTTGAATTAAGGCGGAATTTCTCACTTGAAACTAGATTCAAATTGTAATTTTGGACTTTTATTTAGCAGTCAAAAATTATTTGCATAATACTACGCAGTGATTAATAGTTCATTGTGATTAGAAGTTGTTAAAGATGCAGGAAACCATACAAATTGATGATTATTCACTGTCACAAGCAACATTGGATGACATGTTTGTTTCATTTGCCAGCGCTTCGTCCGATAAAACTGGCGGTGATTGAATAATGCTCCAAATGTCAATAGAATTCAGTGGAGGCCAGTTGTGCCTGTTGATATACACTACTCATTTCTTGCTGTTTTGGCGGAACCTCATGTCTCAATCTTCTTTCGAAATCTCTCCAGTAATTATTCATTTAAATTGTAAATAAAGATAAGTTCCTTTGACTTATCCAATTTTGCTCGAAGTTAAAATATTATCTCAAAGAAGAGAAAGATCTACACATATTGATTGATATTCCGCAGAAGTGTTCGTTTTTATTTGACTTTGACCTCTGTCATCATTTTGCAGCTTCGTCTTTATAATACATACAGTTGAAAGTTGACATTATTTTCATTTTATTCTTATAGAATTTGAAATGTGTTAAGATGCTCTCCTTTGCCTTCACTACCCTACAGAAGATATCGCTGAAGCGAGTTCTTCTTATTAATTGATAAGAATTACCAACCATTGTGTTGTTTTTGTTTCACTGTTTTCACTTTTTCTTTAAATTTATTTCATATAAGATAAAATTTTATGGGTGTTTTGCAAATATTGTTATATGAGAAATGAGAGACATTACTGTACCAAACAATATGTCGATAAAAAGCTTTTAAAATAAGTGACAATTACAAGTTGCAATTTGCGACGAATACCTATACTTACCAGGACGATTTTTCTTCAGTGCTCTAATTTAGTGAAATTGATATTCTTCTTTTATTAAGCTATATACTAACTTCCTAAAAATCCCCAAGTTTGCTTGTATATGACAAATCAGTTATTATAATGATGACAAGTAATTCTGATCTTTGCCTTGTCCACCTCTCTCTATACGCTATTAATTTTTTTCGGAAAAAAATGTTGAGAAAACATGACTTATGGCAACTAGTAAGTAGACATCATCATGCATTTTTTCGCATAACTGGACCAAAAGCATTAATACCTCCAGACTGTAACTTCGTGCAAGAAGGCGCACCGCCGACCAAGTCCTACAAATAGTGTAAACATTATTGGAATCTTGCAGTGAATACTTTGTCCAAAATTCTTTGTTAAAGTGAAAGATGGATTTTTATAACGAAAATGTATGTATTATTACTGGAATTAAGTTTGCACTGCTTCGACTCATATCTCTAATTCCTTTATATGCTGTTATAACCAATTAATCGACTGCAAATTGGTAAACCATTTTTTCTTCAAAATGGCAATACTCACTTGATCATCGCATGTTTCATCTCGAACACAGGGATCCCTAAAAAAGCTGCTATAACATTGGATTTTCTATTAGTATGATATGATACAAATCTCACCGTTATAATTATGCTGTGAAAAATTCCTTTCTAGATATGATAAATTTTAAATGCATATCAGTGTCTACGGTAATATTAACAGTGATAAAAATTCTGAAGTTTAAAGTTTTCTCGTATTTCAGAGGATAAGTTGCTGGTGATATATGTATTATAAAACGATATTGTAATTTAATATTGCGCATTGCACACTTCTATAAGTAATCTTTTTCTATCTTCAGTTTTCAAAATGTATCTAAACAATTTAAAGGGCTTTGATTAAGAAACAATCTGTTTAAAGGCTTTGATTAAGAAACAATCTGTTTAAAGGCTTTGATTAAGAAACAATCAGTGAATGCTTAATGACTTTGCTCAGAATACCGAAAATGTTTCGAGCTCAAAAAAAAATTTGGCTCGAAGTCTATAAAAACAATTAATGTACAACCTGTTATATCTGTCCACAATGAACCAAATTTCACGTGTGAGATCATTTGCAATCAGTCCATTCACACGGTTTTTTATAAATGATAACAACAATATCCCATCGAGGCGGAGATCATTTTCAGCAAAGTTTAGTAAAAAGCGTTTAACTTTCTCATCAATGTAGTTACCATTGGCCTGAGTGTCGCAAGATGAAAGAATTAAAACATAGTACCAAAGTAATCCATATTTTTCAGAAAATTTGAGAAAACCTTCTCGCAGAAAACTGAAATACCTGTAACAGAGATAATACACGTGTATAACGTAGATAAGGACAAAACAAAAGTAGCATGGAATTTGTTGCACTCATTGCATCAATCAGTAACAGAAGTGAAAGCCAGAACCAAAGTGCCACGTATAATTTTTCATTCAGTACATTAATCATCAGGACACACTGCATCGTATGAGTATTCACTTGGCCGATTTGCTGAAACCCTTAATGAATTCCACTTTCTACAATAATTTTAAGTTCATACAATTATTCATGTTGCTCATTATTCACTAACACTGTTCATTAACACTAGTTACGTTAATTCACATAATTTAAAATAATTTGAGATCTTATTTTTAGATATTAAACTAATATCCAACTAATCACAGGATGAAATATGTCGATATGATTTTACAGTTAGCCTCTTTTGCTCATAAGTCTATGCTCATGCCCCAAATTAAAAATTATTCATTCTACAATAGCATGACTTCAGTACAAATATTATAAAAAGACCAAATAACATACAGCAATTTTAACATCGCAGAATGTTACCCGTGGAAATATACCCGATGTCTTCCAGTCGTTACCTTTAAGGATTTCCTCCATAAACTAAAATATATCACAAATTGGACATTAATAAAGAAATGATTATTCTCCACAAGTTTTAAAATTTCTAAAGTTTTATTAAAAATATAGAAAAACAAATCAATTTTCATTAGGAAAGAAGAAAACTGAAACTTACACGGTAGCCCCACAGCAAACAACCATCACCTACGAAGTTATTTATTAGTAAGACTTGACATAAGGAATTGCCAAAATAGAACCACTTCATGAGCAGATAAAAGTGATATGTAGAACAGCACTGAACAGTTCGCCTTAAAAAAAAAAACATCAAAAAGGAATTACAAGTTTCAAAGACACAAAATTAGCTACCAGCAATGTCGTTTTATAATAATACGCCATGTCTTATTTTATACTTGAATTCTACATGCTGCATGTTTCAACATTCACGATGATTGTGACGTCCAGCGGATGAGTCATGGTTGAACTAGTAAGTTAGAGTCAAGGCGATAAGTAAAAGTCATCCTTAAAATCAACCACTCGGTCTTACCTCTTCTGCCTATACTTGATATACCCAACAGCAAAGTTAGCGACTCTCCTGAGATGCTTCTGACGAACTGACAATGTCATAATAGACGGTAATTTCATTGCTTCTTCCACAACAGAACGCATATCCAAATCTACACCATACTTCAAATTAATTTAAATCCGAAGAACAATTAACTGATCATAGGAAGAAGGATTATGTAAAGCAATTCGAACTTGGCACTTTTCTCAATGTTACTGCAATTTACATATGTTTAAATTAATGTTTTGAATTATACCTCAAATCAAATACAAGGAATCAGGGAGTTAGATCGCAAAGATAAGCTTTTCTGAATCGTAGCTACTTCATTAAACTTTGACAATGATAACAGAAAAGTCGATGCTACTTACCACGCGTTACTATAATAATGTTCCATAGAAATTTTGGTAAATAGCAAAGCAAAGCCTGAAGCAATAATACATAGGGCACCCACTGCAACACAGAATTTTTTTAGTGCTAACGTCAGTGTGTACGATTATTATATAATTTTACTAGTTTTACCACATAAAAAAAGATATTTTTTATCTTAAATATAGTTGAGCTTCATACAATATGTAATTGATGATTCATATTTAGCCTATTTTCCTCGTTTCAAAAAAACCTAATTGAAAAACCTGATAATAGACAATTTCTTCTTTATAAACATTTGTCGCTTCACCTTTCACGATAATTCTGCTTGCATTTACCATATATGTGTTGCTTACAAAACAATAATCTTGTACATAACCAACCCACGTATCTGCAATCATTTCAAGGTAGAATCTAATTCAAAATCTATTATGTAAAATACCAAGACAACCTAAAGAACGCTTAAAATACAATATTTCATGTCCAAAAAGTGAAAGCATGCAAAATAACAATTTTATCACTAATATGCATAATTCATCTTGGTCAATAATACTTGCCATAAGTATAAGCAATATTTAGTGCTTTATCCGAATAAACCAATATTTTTTCCATGAATTTATTCTTTACTAATAACTGTTACATCATTTAAACTTTATTTGCTTAAAAATTGCAAAGTATTCATGTTATTCCTTAAAGTCTTTTTATTTAAAAATTGCATAACAATTTCAATCACTGCTTAAGAAATATGAAATGCGAATGAAAATATTGTTCGTTATCCAACAATTTACATCTGGAGAAGTTTTAATTATATGCCATTATATGCCAAAGAAATAGATGGCCAACCTGGAAAGTGTGTAGGTACCATACATTGAATTGCAGTACCGAAATGTTGCTTTGCGCCTGTAAGTGTTGCCATAAATATGAGAAGGCCCACTGTATACACATAATTCAGACGATCTACGAAATCATCTGTAGAATCCGAATGTGCTGCCACAAATTTGCTTGCTATTTGTTCAGGCCATACAAACATCTTGAATATTTTCCTTTTTTCTTTTCTCTCCGTTTCTCTAAAATACTTGCTATGAATACAAAAGCCTAATAACAGGCCAAAAAGAACTAAGTCAAAATGACTAGTTTTTAGCAAATCTACATAAAATTAAAACACTGACGTATGCATGTGACTGCAACAATATTATATTTTGTATATTAAGTATATACTTTAATAGAAAACACATCTCGAGAAGACATTTCAAGTCTGTTAAAAATCTATCTAAGATAGCTTGCATGAGAAAGTATCATAAATATGAAATATCTATAACTCTTTCTATAGTAACCCTATTCAGAGAATAGCAATAAATCAATTGATTGTCGTCAATGAAAAGATATATAGCATCAAAAGATTCCCAATAGTTTCTTTCACACACTCTTCTCTAAATGGTAACACTTCTAATTTGCTCAGGCTTAGTAGTTTAACATAGCCCACGGATCTAATGTACCCAATCTACTGGTTAACGCATGTAATCCACGTCATATATATATATCCTGATGATAAGAATAATGAACGAGAGAATGGATAAGCATGAAATTGAGGGAATTCGTAAGAGCAAACAACCGTCTTTCAATCATTTGCATATCGCACTATTAAGAATAGAGTTGAAGGTAGCGTAGTAAAAGAAAGCGAACATACGTAGATGTTCCTATGAACGTGCGTGGAAGATCTTCATGTGAACATACATAGATCTTCATATGAACGTATATGGATATTCTTACTTTAACGATATACTTACTTATGTTCGCGAACGAACATAAGTAAGTATATCGTTAAAGTAAGAATTGTATCGGTCAGCATTGCTAATAAGGGTAATTACACGGTAAACTGGTCTGAAATAATAAGAGTTGGCAATTGTTTGCTTAATTAATCTGTTTGACCTTTGGATACTGATTGATATACAGCGTTATATCCTTGAATTTAACCGTATCTTTTTTATGACCTCAATTATATGCTAAAACTCTTCTGCTGTAATATGTATATGTATATGTATAGTTCTATATAATATGTAATATGTATAATTCAGGTATAGCAATATATAATCTATCTTTATTGAAAAATTAATATCAAATGACATAGCAGTGAATCTATGAGAGTATCATCGAGCTTCGTTACATTTAGTGAATGAATTTAGTAGTACTGATAAAATTCAAATAACCTTCTGTGACCTTTTGATCCGATCTTGCACAATGCACCTAAATAATAATCCTTTAAAGTAGTGTAGAAGTGAGACTGAAACGCTGAAGCAATTGTCATTCCTCATTATTTACTCATTCTTTCATTTCTAGCTATCGCAACCTCGTGAATCTGTAAAATTAATACGAACTCCTCAGAGTAATAAATTCGAGAAATGATTAAAATATGGATCCATCTAATTTGGGATTCTCGGCATTGTCATATTACGGCTTGAATAACTTGACTGCTACTAAACTCACTTTGTTTGCTTTACTCAAGAATTCACGTTCTTTTAGCGTCAGATCCAAATCTCTCGGTGTATATTCCGGTAATGTGAATACTTTCTGTAGCTCATTCTCAGTTAAAAATCTGCTCATTAATCGCGGTCTTCCATCACTGCGTGAATCCTCAAATCCATAATTTGCCGAATTTTTTAAATTCTTTCAAAAAATTGCAATTATTTTTTAGAAATTTAAAGTGCAAATCTTTTCCAGTTTTTAGAACTTTGAAAATCTAAATGACTTTCTGCGGTAACTTTTTCTCATTGGAGAAACAGAAATTTCGAAAGCGCTGTGTGAAAATTCAAATGCACATTGAAATAGCTTTCCTTTACCAACAAATCACGCATTTTTAGGATACCGGATGGTTTACGGAAAAAATCGATCAGAGTGCAGGATGTGAAGAAGTATATGTAGGCAGTGATGGAAACTGCCATGAGTAAGATTGAAATGGGCATGAAAACCAATACTGCATACCAAATCTAAAATTTTATATCTCACACTAATTCTAATTTATCTTAGAAAATAAAAACGTCATATTTAATGTTAGCTATTCAAATATTCCAGCACAATGCATGAACCACTTGTCATTAACTGAAATTTAATCTTTGATTAACCAATATAATTAGGTATTAGCTTGGACAGGAATTCATTAATAAATCTCACCTATGTTTTTTTTCGTTATTCTATCACAGATATTCGGGTCGAACTTTTATCAGATATTCGTTTGATCATTTATGACAACTATGATAAAGTGATTTTAACAGACCCAATAATTAAGAAACAGATGAGTCATATATATATATATTTCCGACCGCTCTTCACCTCAGTTCAACATCGAATGAGAAAATAATTTATAATTCTCTTATTTCATTCCAAGTATAACTTTGTACCATAAGCAATATCTCTTTGACATATAAATCAGCTGCCGTTTCCAACAGTGTTCCATATCTTCAATCACATTTTTGTGCTGGAAATGATTTTCAAGCTCCGATTTTTTAACGATCCTCTTCTCTCACATTCCAGTCCTCTTTTAAAAAGATCACACGATTTTAAAGATTATGCACCGAGCAGGCAAGCGAAATAAAGGATAGAAAGAAATGAAATTCGCATTTTTGCAAAAGGAACTGCATAACAAATCGAAATAAGTATTTAATGAAAATGTTTTCAAATGAATTATTCTGTTTCAAGTTCTTTAATTACAAATTCTGTTTTTGAATTATTCTGTTTCAGGTGATGAGAAACAAATTATACACAATCCGACCAAAAATTAGTTGTATCTATCTCTATACAGAAATTCTATAGATGACAAAAAAATATAAGAATTAGATAATATTTAGGGTATATATTCTAATATTGGAATATATAAATACTTTTAGTGAACAATATTAAACAAGTTCTTTAATTACAAAATAGTAATTTGGCTATTAGTTAAGCTTGCTCATGACTGCTTCAAACCCATCATGTAGCTATGAATGGAAACCTAGTTACAGTAGTATCGAAGATATCTCCATATTTTTATAATCAAAGATCCTGATAACTTATTTACAACATATAAGATATTGTCATAGATGTTCATTCTCCTTAAAACAAGCCCTCAATCTACCTTCAGTTTTTATTCAATCATCAAACATTTCTCATGGCGAAATTATCACAGCAAATTTACAAACTCTATCCATTTATCAACACCAAATTTCAGTGTTGACATTTCTTGTTCCAGCGCACATAATAAACGTTCAGAATGCTTAAAGTATTTCACGAAGTTTTGAGGTATAAAAATTTATTCAACACAATTATATTACTTCATGAAAAGAATATAATTTGAGGAGCAATCATCTTAAATATCTCAGTAAACTGTTCAATTCTCCAGTAAATTGAACTTTTTGTTCTATGCGCTCAGCATAGGACTAAAAGTAAGACTCTACAAGACAAGTAAATCAAAATACGAAGGTGTACATAGAATGTAAACAAATTAGTAATAAAATTACAGATGTGAAAAGTAGAGGCTGTAAATAAGAGAGATGAAATTAAACCAAGTAAAATATTACAAAACGACAGGTAGTGATCTTTAAAAACATAACTGAAACACACTTTAGTTCAATCTTATAAATAACACAAAAGTTACTCAGTTTATCTTTACAAATAATATAAAAGTTTCAAAACTAATAATAAATTACCTAATAATAAAAAAAGGAGCTGTTTTGTTGGCTTTACATGTTTGAAAACTGATATACCTGCTTGATTGACAATATCGAAACAAATACCATGCTATAGCAATGCATGGTACATATTTTCATTCCCTTTCAAATAAGACAACAAAAATACTGCAAAACACACTAGTAACCTCTACGATTCAAGAGAATAATTGTAATTTCAATTCTCAATGAAAAATACGTTGAATGCTGAAAGAACTTAAATCGATTCAGATCAACAAATTTTTATAAATTAAACAGGTCGAAGTACATTTGAAATTCTAATTATTTGATTGATTTTTAAAGGCATGCCCTTTTAAGTGAAGGAACCAATGCAGTAGCAGATTTTGTGGAAATAAAAATCATAGTGATATCATGGAACATAAGAAAGTGAGCATTATTGTACGAAGAGTTTTGAAACTTAAACTATTTTCGAATCTGTTAAATTCAATTCAATTCAATAATGTAAAGGGAAGCCTGTAAATCCATCCGCATTTCTTGTATCCAAAGAAAATTACGAATCAAAATTCAGAAACATCTGCAGTACATCCAACTAATTTGTTCTCGACAAATCTCCTGCTGTCTGAAAAATGATCCATGTATATTTACATCTAATAACAACACAAGTAAATGGATTTCTAATGTCGTAATACTGTTATAAATTCTGGAATTCTGAAGCAGGTAGCCTCCTGAATCATCAGTATCTAAATTAAAATGGAAGGCCAGCAGTGCAAATAGAAAAAAAATACATAGCAATGTTTAGTGTGTAATCGAATTGTAACGTATGCACCAATAATCTTAAAGATATTATAAACAAAAAGAAGTATCTATAACTTAATAATAAAAACGAACATTAGAATTTACTTTTTATTCACAGCACGTAAATTTATTTGCGAGTCATTTATCAAAACACAAACATAAGCCATACTTTCCCCCAATACGACTTTATGCAATGCTTAAATATTCAATACATATTCGAAGCAAAAAAACGATCATTACCGAAATTAACGAATTTTTGTCTAGAACAAAAGAGTAATTCCATATCATTTTATTATTTCGCAGAAAACATATGGAAGTGAAGTGAATTCAAATTTGATTTGAATTATAATCTAATGCGATTCGACAAAACACTACACTAAAATTACAGTTTATGTACGTTTCGATGGGTTTGAAACATTAGGCTGAACACCGTTTTTCAATAATATCATACATAACGCATAGTAATTATTATATGCAGCAACACGTAGAGGCGTAAAACCGTCAGCAGTGGGTTGCGCTGATGTTAGTCCGGTTAAAATCTTCAATAGATCGTTCTTATAATCACTGAAGAAGAGAGATGATTTAGCAATTAATACATAACACTATCGTTTTTATTCTACGTTGAATAAGCCTCAATACATCTTCGTATTCTCGACGGTCTTTATTATAATATAAAATTTAATCTGCAGAAATCGATCTTTCCCAATTCACAAAAAAAAATGTCTACTTTATTGCTTAGCAAATGAATTTCAAGCAAAGAGTAAATTAGTCTGTTCAAAATAAAGTATTACGTGAAGAATTTCTTTATTCTTGAAGGGTAAAAGATTTTGTAAGGAACTCAAATTAGCCTATACTTGTTGTGAAAATAAAGTTAATAATAAATTTGATTAAATTTATTAATTTACTAGATTTCGTATTTTAATTCGCTACCATACTGAGTATTAAAATGCAAACGGTAACACATAACTCATTCTGAGCACAAGCATCAATATCGAAACTTGCACTTAACAAGAAAAGCACTGAAAGTTAGCATCAACTCACCTATATCTAAGCTTATTTCCAGTATCTCAAGCATGATCCTGCATTCAGTTACATCGCCTTTAAAAGAGATGCATATGCGGAGTGATCTTATGAACCCTGTTCAGTGATCATTTTTAGTTTGTGCAGTATAAAAGACCTTTGGAAACACAGCTTCCATCTACTTTACATATGCCAATTTACGACCTTAAGCTTCTTTGAAACTTTATTACAGAATCTGGGAAAGACAAGGCAGTGATTGCAGCACAGTTTAAACAACAGGATAATGAAGAATATTCATAACAAGAGGCATTCTATTTGTAACATAGTAAATGATTAACAAAGGGATATAAAACTACAGAAAGCGGATCAAAGAGAAGTAATGAAAAGAACACAGTAAGTGGTAAGTGAATTTTTTTATGGGTTTCTCAATTTTTTCATGTACAAGTCAGTAATAACAAATACTCCTTATTTCAACATTATTTAATTTCATGGCAAGACAAGCATAGAAATCTATCTACATGCCATTATATTAATGAATATCCCTGGTAGAAAGCAAAAATCTATTTTCAAAACGGTGGATAAATTATTAAAAGCTACAGGCTAATAATTGAAAAAATATATATGAAGTCAATTTGTAAAGACAATAAGCTAAAATTACTTTCTCTTTCTATAGTGTTAGAGCTGCGGGAGAGAACAAACTGAACATTTCGAAAGAAATTTGTCGAAGAGATGGACGAGAGAAGAATAAATGTACAGTGTTTCAGTGAAAAAATATTTCAATAAAATTTTTTTCCACTGATAAAAATTCAGCAGAATATATTAGATATTTATAGGTTCCCAACCACCAAATCCTTTCTCCAAATCTTGAGCCACTGCTATCAACAAAGAATCAGATCCTGGTGCACCGATAGCTTGTACACCGAGCGGAATATCATGACTGTTTAAACCCATTGGACATTGTACAGCCGGAAGAGCCAGCACATTCCACAGAGCCGTATAAGCGAAATTCAATGGAGTGAAAAGCGGCTGATGATGATAAGGTGCCTCAGTTGGAAACGATGGGAACAGTAGGATACCATTGTCTGATAAAAGTTCTTTAACTTCTCGACTTAGGCGATCTCGCTGACTTCTTAACTAGAAAAAGTTGTTCTACAGAACTAGAAGAAAAAAATTCCTATTGGTATTATATAGAGAGTTATTCATATAAAACATTCTTACTTCAATAAGTTTGGTATATCTTCTCAAGAAAGTAAAGACTTTCTCAATGTAATCAGAATTAATATGGCAAAGTTACTTTTTGTTTCTGTTCCTCATTGAATGGTGCAAAATGTTCGTCTATAATTCCAGTAACAATAGCTGGTAATGTATGTACTGATTTGCCCACTAGCCACTTGAAGAATTCAACGAAACAATTTATATTAGCCTAGAAATGCGATAAATTCAAAATAAAAAAAGATCCTAATTTCAAAATTAGGATATACCAATTTTACATGAAAAGTGAAAAATAATAATTGATTACTTAATGCAAACTGACTACCTCTGAAAAAACACGTGATACGATTCAGGAATGGAATTAACTGTAGACATGGAATGAAGTCGTGCGTTTCCTTTAAAACGGAAGAATGAAGTAGTTGTAACAAAGGACTTCAAAAGGTAGAATGAAAATTCAGGATTTACCTTCAAATCGGTCATATGCATCGCAAATTTCGGAGCATTTGCAACATCCATGCTTGTCAGGAAAAATTCAAGTGCGTGATGAACAAGTGGTGGATCTATACGAGTAGCGCATAAGTCATATTTAATTTCAAAGTAGCGAACCGCCTGAAAATAAATACTGTATTTTTTTGCAAATACATTATTCATGATCACGTTACTAATTGAAAATGATAAAAAGCCATCTCTGAACTTCTCTATTTTAAAAAGGTATTAAGAGGAAATAAGGAAGAAAAAAAAAGCTAAAATCAAAAGAGAAAACGGTATTGTTTTTATTAAGTCAAATGAAATTCAGAGAGTTTGAAATTCAAAATCAATGAATGAAACACATAGAAATATGTAGTTTACAAACATCACTTAATGTAGTATTATATCACTATATGTGCAGTCATTAATTTTTAGAACACGTTCAATTTACAATCTATTTTATAAATAAGCAAATTTTGGTTCACAATAAAAAGTAAATGTTTTTAATTCAATCATTAAACTACTTTCCTTCTTCAGCGTCTGGAAAACTTCTTTACTCATATCTTGCACCAACGGTGTCTTCAGGCCTTCCATATAGAAAACGCGTATTTTCTTAATATTACACGGAGTATCCAAATTTAACAAATTCGTGCCTTCATTTCCCACGAAGACCTATATGTTAAATCATTAAAACACCGAACAAATTCTAAAATACCAGAAATGGAAGTTATCAGATAAAGTTAACAAAAAATGTGAAACAAACCCTTAACAAAATTGACAAATCTTCCGCATAACGACATATAGGACCAATGAGTAGCATTTTCTCAACACGATATCCACTCGGATGTGGTAAATGTCCCTCCAGTGGTATCACACCTAAATATGATCGAGGGCTTCCGCAACCAAGGAAACGCTACCGAATGTTAAAAATTTTATTTAATGACTTTTGCCGTTGGTCATGCTACACGAAAGGTTCAAGTTTTGCATATCTAAATTTTTGATATTTAAACACGTTGGCCATATGCAAAGGATTTTAATATCATAAAATAAAGAACAACGGATAAGATACCCGGAGTCGGTTTGAGACCGAAAACCCCATTAAAATAACAAGGCATACGAATTGAACCGGCGATATCACTACCAATCCCAATTACTGAACCCGCAGCAGAAATTAGTGCAGCCTCACCACCGCTACTGCCACCAGAAATTCGTCTACTATCGTACGGGTTTCTGGTACGACCATAAACGACATTCGCTGATTCCCACCACATGCATACCTCAGGAACATTAGTTACCGCAAGAAGGATTGCACCAGCATTTTTCATCCTGCAAAAATGAGTAAAGAAAGTTTAAAGTATAATAATAAAGAGCGTTCTAGGCAGAAAGTAGCGCACAAGACGATTGAAATGATGCCACACCATATTCTTTATTATGGCTGTTTAATTCAAAACGATGCGCGGGAGGTTGGTAGGTGAGAAATAAAAAAATAAATGAAATATGAAAAAGTGTGGGTTAGTAAAGACTAAAAATAAGAAAGAGTTTGAACTAATTATTAAATTGGAAAAACCTTTGTATAACGGTCGCATCTTTGTTACTTATAGAGTTTTTCCGATATGATATTCCGATAGTGCAGCACAAACCATCCACTTCAATGGAATCCTTCACGGTAAAAGGCACACCGAGTAATGGCTTTTTTTTATCAAGCTGAAAACAATCCATGTATCTTAACTTTCCACTTGAATTTTTTGTAACCAAATAGTCTATTTGCATAAATTTACCTCGCAAATATTTTCGGCCGCAAAAACTTCAAATATCTCATCTAGTTTAACTTTGGGAGTGTTAGCAACACAAACCGTGATGAGCCAGCGTTCGTACATTCTAAGAGCAAAATTCGCCAATACCTCAATCTTAGGAGCACTACAAAGACTAACAAAAGAAATAACAAAAGACATACATTTTTGAGGTTCTCGCTATTTGTGTCAAGGCTTCCCAACATTTCATCAATTTCTTGAGCCTTTATTAATGCTTCCTTAAAATTCATTTGAACAGCCGCATTAATTGTCCCATTCACTTCCTTGATGCGCCTAATATAGGCTTCAACCAGGCTGAGGCTTGTTATCTGAATACGCAAATATTTAATTCTGCCTTGCAAAATCATGACTGATTAAAAACTTTAACTGTTTTGCATACTACATTGGGTACTGTCCATTTCCACGAGGAGTTCAATCTCTATCCAGCAAAAAAAATAAAAACATTTCATAATCCTGATATTTACATAATCATGAATCCGAAATGAAGCTTAACACATTGTGCCATTCTTTATTATATAATTTCTTCCCAAATTCGTTTAATTTTTTAAAGTAAAGTAAAGTCACCACGTTGAACAATGCGGTAAATAACCGACTTTATCACAATCACTCTTAATTCCAGGTGTAAGACTGCGATGAATAATGACATATGCAAGTATGCCGAACCAACTGTTACAAGCTCGTTTTATAACTGAAGCCTATTTAGCAACAGCATAACGTTTTGCAGTTACCTATAACTAACAGTAGCAAACAATTTCAACTAATGCAGGTCTTTGTTACCTCTCGATTTCGTATCATTTCAGCAGCTCGTGTGGCGCTGATTGTGAGGAGTTTATTTTGCGGTGCACTGATTACTTCTTTTGATGAAAAGTGATAAATGAAAGTGAAGAGATAACAAACGAGAGCGCAATATATCCTTGAAATAATAACGAATAACGGCTTCAACGTCTTTATAACGGCCGCCAACATATCGTACAGCCTGCAAATAATATTTCTCCTATTTATTTCCTGCAAAACGCAAGTGAAAAAAAGAAATTGATACCGATCACGAAACTGAATGGAAAACTTCCTAACTAGAATTATAATTACAGTATCTAACACCTTCATTCGATTACTCCACAGCCTTACCCATTTTTAATCTTTTAGATCACCTTTAAAACTTGCATAACGTTTCAACCGTTGGATATTTCCCTGCCTGAGCGATTAATTAACTGAGCGGCATTTTGAAATGTGTTAATTGATCAGTTGCTAATGTTTAGCAACTTTTTGAAGTTGTTTTCAAATTTTCATTTCAAAATTTTAGATTGAATTTAAAGCTTCGATTTTTTAAAATTTATGGATTGAATTGAATTGGTTGGTAGAGAGATAATGTAGTTACCTTCCGGTCGTTTTTATTCCTTCTCATTTGGCGAAATACTTTAAAATTTGAGCTGATTAAAATATTAGAAGTGAAATTGCATGAAATCCATCCTTGCTTGATTCTATTCAGAGAGATAAATTAGGATATCATTGGTTCTATTATAGCCAAATGGTCAGAAGGTCACCTCAAAATTTTTGAATTCTTACAATATAAAGTTGCTGTTTCGTAAAGACAATAAATGCGAATTTTAATTTTCCAATTTAATATCATTTTCAATAATTCATTTTTCAGTTTTTATATTCTTGTGGGAGAGAGGTGGTTGAGTACCACTTCAATTCTATGACTGTATTGGATGCAGTACTAGCCGTGGCATTCATTCTTTTCATATGGTTTCTGTTTGGCTGGCATGGAACTCGTCGCAACAATTCTATCGAAGTAAGCAAGCTATGTGAAATAGGCCTTCCCGTTTCTGAGCTTCTTTCTAGTATCATTTGACTTTCTGCACCAATAAACAAATCATTGATTACCTCTCTCGTTGAGTAATTTCTAATTAACAGTTTAAGCCGATTTTATTCTTCCATTATAAGAAATGAGTTTTCTTCTCGGCTTAAATTGTTAGTTAGAAGTTACTCGACGAGAGAGATAATGATTTGCTTATTGAAAGAATACGAAGAATGGAAATCGAAGCTTGTTATCCAAAAAATGATTTTTTTGAAATGAAATGTATATGAAAACTTCTGAGGGGGCTAAGTATCTCTAAGAATGCTTACTACAGTAACATATTATGAAGTCAGGAGAAAAACAATAAGGCCTTCAAAGAGTGAAAGTAGGAAAGAAACAATTATGTCCGGAAATTATATGTATATACTATATGTAAAACATTTTAGACAGGTTCATTGGAAATTCAAACCGTCATACCTACTTCAAACTTCAAATTTACATTTGAAAAAGGAAAAATTGAAATGGAGGATATGAATGCTCAGAATCTGAGCCAGATATCCAAGATGGACATCCCACATACAGGAAATTCATGGAAGTCAAATAAAATCTCTTCAACTCAAGATTCGAACATAAATAGTCTTGCTATAATTGGGACAAATAATTCAACAATCCAGGAATCACAGAATACGCAGGATTCAGGAACGATCAGAAAGGAGGATGATTCATTAGCGGGAATAGATACGAGAAGTAAATCAGTATATTTCTCAACTCGGGTTCTCAGCGAGTGCAATTTGAAAATTTTCCCCTCTCTAGAATATGCAATCGTATCAGAAAATTTGGATAATGCATCAATAGACGAAGCAAAATCAGCAATACCTGCAGAAGATGCTTTTAGCGTAGTCAGTTTGCCATCCTTGGAAACCGGGATTACTGCGACAGATATGACTGCGGAAGTGCCAAGCGCGATGAGAGCTGTGTCGGTTATTGAGCTGGACAGTCAGCTGGAAGTAGACAATCCAATAACTGAAGATATGATAGAATCAGTACATGATAAGCAACTAACGTTACAAAGCAAAACTGCAACAAATGCCACTTGCAAAGCACATTTGAAGACCGAGTGTTCCATAACAAAGCTTAGGTCGAGTGATACCATATCAGTGTTAGACACTGATACTGATTTAAATATGGAGATTGACTCTACATCTGATTATATGCTGATGGAAAAGTATCTCTCCAATAATTATTATATTTCGGATTCCGAATTCACTACCAACACGGAAATAACACAGAAAAAGTTGGACGAAATCGTTACTGCTGAGGTAGTTTTAAGACGTCTATTTAACAGTAATGATAATAAAAAAAGAAATGACGGAAACGTACTTTTTCTCTTTCGGTATTCAATGATAACTCCAATGCATAAAAAGCGAAATTAAGCATTAACTCAGGATATCCTAAAATTGAACTTTTTAAAATTCCTTACTAATTTTATCAGGACAACTTATAAAACTTCAAAGTTTCAATTTTCTTTTTTCAGATAAAATTGAGGATTTATCGTTGCTTTATCTTCAGGAAGTAAGCAGTTTATCAAGCTCATTTATCACCATTGATTATGAACCGGCAATAACTGAATCGGAAGCTTATTTACGCGCAAACTAAGAGTACAAACAAGTCGCGAAAATTATTATTGCAAAAAATGCTAAAAATTTTCGAATAATTAAAGTTTGATCCTACAATTGATATTTACTACTAATATTTTTGATCTTGCTATTGATATATGTTTTTAAACAAAATCCTATGAGTATAGTAAATTTATTTATTTACACTTCTATTCATAGTCCACCATTATGTTATAACGAAAATGATTCGAAGCCAAAGAAAACATGAGAAATATTCAAAAGAACGAAGTCCATTGATCGAAGTTTATTCCTCGTAATTACAGAAACAAGGATTTCGGTAAAGAAATATTTATTTCCTTAAAACCACAACAGTGTATATCTTCCTTTTTCTGAAAATAGTTCTTTCAAAATCTCATTTTTCCGTTTTCTGGAAAAATGAGATTTTGAAAGAAATATAGCCCCAGACAAACTGATAATTGCTGATCATGGCGCTGATCATCATAAATTAATGTTCAGTTTAATCAATGGTTAAAAAGAATTCCAACAAAAAGTTACTTGATTTATGACTCTATTTCGGCGAGCTCTCTCATTCTCTCTAAATCATTTTCAGATATAATTAATTTTTGAAGAATTAACTACGTTAATGACAGCAAAAGATGTTTATTTGAAATTGCACAGTATATTTCAATGATATAAACGGATATTTCCAACGATAAGATCATATAAAGTAATGGGAACAATCCATTACATATTCTTATAGTACATGATGATGTCTTGACTTTTTCCTCAACTTCAATTGCCTTATTTTAACATGCTCGCCCGGTCTACACCACAATGATAATCGAGGTGAATCACACGTGTCACCTTGCTTTTCATTTATTTTTAAAATTTAATTATGTTCTAATCAAATGATTATAAGCTCTATAGCCGACATAATGTCGATTAACACTAATTACATTCACGCATATGATTTATACGACCATCAAACCAAACCACGAGTGACTAGAAATACATGAAAGCAATCAAAAAGATATCAAAAAGCAATTTAATAATGCCTTCTTTTCTTGATCAGTAACTTATTTCTTCCTGGCCAGTAACTTATTTCTTCTTGACTGCTTTTCACCTTCATACTCTGAGGATGCTGACGCCATTACAGAACGTGATAATTCACTTTCCTCTGACATATTCCTTCAAGTTACGGTTTATACTAGTCGTTTGCATCAGATCATTGAATCTAAACTGGACACCTCATCGTAATATTAAAACCAATGGAAAAGGGAGAATGAGAAGATGAAATGGGAGACAGGAAAAATGTGTAAGAAACAATCATTAGAATCATTCTAATTAGAAACCTTGGAAAAGCTGAAGTTGACATGCAGCTAATTTGCTCAATTTGTAGCCTTCCATTTCACCCGCCCCATCATCCTATTTCACCCAAGTAGAAGAAATATACCTAAGTGGCTTCATTTCCTCGGCACTAGTTTCAGTGTCAAGATTTGATCTAATGAATTTTACAGATTCTGACTCTCTGCAACTATTTTGCTGACCCAACTGTAACTGCATCAATCTGAAATTGAGAAAAAATTAGACTAATTAATCATGATTTTTTTCCTTCTCCTTTGTTCCTCTGTCTCTTACAGTCATTTCTTGGCCATATAATCTTTCATAGGTCAGAAATACAATGGAACCTTCCAGACGCATATGATTTGTCTGAGTTTATTCGATAATTTTGTTTTCGCCGCAAAATGTAGCTCAGAAATATAATGAATACTATTAGAATGATGATGCTTGGAATTGAAATTATCTGTAAAGTAATAACTAAATGAAATGTTGTCTCGCACTTTGGAGCATATTTGAAAAATAAGAGAAAAGTAGAAGTTGGAAAGTAAATCAAATGGAATCAGTGTTACAAGATATGTCTAGATATAAACAAAGATACCCTGAAACAATTATGCATACTTTTACCCTTACCATTTCTCTTGCATTTATTTTACAAAATTCAATAATCACAAGAACTTCGAAAGTCCATTTTACAAACAGTTGAATTTAAGATAGTACTTCACGTTATTATTAATCGGTATCACCGAGGAATTTTGATAAGTATAAAAATATGGTATGAATTATCTGAAAGGTAAATAACCAACGACGAAGATATTTCCTATCATCAATGTCAACTGCCAGTTAGAGAAAAGAGCTGCCAATAGTTTGTAGAAAAAAAGCAACACTGTCCACTTTCAAAGTGGACTATCTGCTTAAAACATCAGTTTTTGCTAAAAAAAAAAAGAAATTAAAATGCTGCACTTCTCATCACCAATTAAATGCCCACAATAATAAATAAAAGAAAAACAAACTAACGACAATAAAAAGAAGCAGTGAAATACATAATCGTCCGATGCAAAATTTCTGAGTACTATCATTTCTGGCCGTGGTGATCTGTGTTTTGATCGTCTCGAATACTACAATCTGCTGCAAGTTTTCTCGTGCTTGCAACCAAAAAATCGGCCAAACTAATTCCTACTCTCTGCTCCTCAGCTAATCTTTTTTTGTTCCTTTATTTCGGCAAATAAGACCCGATTCCCAATTTAGAAAGAGCAGTCCAGAGTTTCATCTATTGCATAACTGTTGAATCCTGTGAGAAAATTTCCTCGCCTTCATTTCATTCTCATTGAATTTCAGATAGAGTAAGAATTTGCAAATCATACGAAAATATTCAATTGTAAGTCCACAAGTTACAATCATACTAATGAAGTTTTAAAATTTCAGTTATCATTTTTTAAAAGTTGCATGTGAGGAAGTGAGAAAATTTTCCTTTTCAATTATTTCATTGAAACGAAATTTTCTTATTCTTACAAAAAGATCCGTATCAGTGAGGCATATGAAAATTAGTAGTTTACATGGTTTTTTTTCTTATTGAAGTTAATTGGAAATAATAAAATGAATAATTATCACATTATTCGTTTTATTTTCTGTTTCGTTCAATACCGCATTGTTATCAATACTTATGTTCGATCTATCGATACTTCTATCTGTTTCTGTTAGTTTTTCAATTGATGTAGTTGATCCACTAACTGCTTTTAAAACGGGTAGAATATTAATAAGATGAATGCGAAGATGTTTGAGAATTAAACTGATTTAGAATTCGATTCCAAAACTGCCTCAGATATAGCTTAAAGAAAATAATTTCAACACGGAAAAGATTCCATAGGATATATCCGAAGCAGAAGATAGCAAAAAAAGTAGTTCAGTAAATTGTGAATGGATTAAACTGAATGATCATACAGTAAGCAAGCTAACCAAACAGTTACAAATGGAACCTTTTAGGAAGATAAAAAGTTATGCTAAGGATTTTTTGACATTTTGCGGCTAATATATGCACAAACTTTGGAGAAAAAGTTCTTAACTAGAGAAAAGGTTATGTGCGCGAAAGGATGTCCTTTCGTTTGAAGAAAGTGAAGAAGGAAATAAGGAGCATAATTGAAAGGAAATGAAATTACCAGTGAAAAAGATTGGCAACAACAGAAGAAGAGACAGGAAAGAATTTCGTTTCGAATTCCTCAACCAATAACTAGCACTTACACCTGCGACCATTGCTCCACGTTAACCCACAGGGCTCTGCAAACACTATAAAAAAGAATATATTTTAACAAGAAATAAGATTTAAATAAGATGAGCTTTTCTTCCACTAATTTGCATAAACCCGATTGAAACGGAGAATTTCTTAATAGTAAATCATTAATTTCAAATAGGCAATCCAAAATTATAACCTCAAGTTTAAATAATAATTGGTCTTGGAAGGAATACTTTCCGGCCAATAGTAGCTTTACAGTAAAATTGGTCATTGTTTGCGTTTACATATTTTGCAGATAGCTTTTTGTGTCGTTTATTTACAATTAGTTTATGATGCGGAAAATTGAGGATTTCAATAACATTCTGCTCATAATGAAGAAGCAATAATCTTCTAATATTAGTTTATCATCCAGTTGATTCGGAATAGATATAGAAAAGTGTCAGTCCTTTTTTTTGTTACTGCAATGTTCTGTTGTTGTTGATGTTTTCTGTTATTACTGCAATGTTCTGTTGCTAATGAAAGCTTTTTCATACAAAGACTCACATGAGCTTGCAAATTATATGCTGAAGCTGCGAGTTCATAATTAGATTTATTTATTTATGTTCGAAGTAATTTTTTTTCCCTAAAGTGCTGCGGTCGGTATTGATATATTTAGCTGCAGCACTATCATCGGGAATGGCACGATTAATATTTCAGGAGGATATTACAGGATATAATGGAGTGTTAGGCAAGTTCTTCACTTTTAAGAATCTCAATGTCGAAATTGGCAGTAGAAGATGAGACAGCCTGTACGGCAGCAAAGAAATTCACGGACTTATTCTACGATGCCGTTGATCGAAAGCGAAATAAAATGAATTTCTTATACGCCGATGGAGCCACGCTTGTTTGGAATGGGAATGCCATACAGGGAGTAGAAATCATCGCCAAATTTTACGATAGTTTACCCAACTCCACTCACACGTGAGTTTCATTTTAGCACATCCTTTACTTTTTATTTCATCCAGGTACTAGAAAAGGGCGTTTGCCGAGAACTTTATATGTTAATATGTTTTAGTTTACGTCGCAGTTTGTTTTTCGATATGCCCTAGTTCTTTGCAGGATTAAGTAAAGCATTCAGCAAAAAAGCGCCATGAAAAACATCATTCCACATAGCTAACATTGAAAATTGCGTAGTACAGACGAGATCTTGTATGAATAACATTGTATGAGAGATCAGAGCTGAGAATATAGATAACTAGTGTATGCTTGTTCCTATGAAAACTAAGTACTTTAAGAACATCTCAATATTAAATTTATCTCATTGGAGTATTGGTTAGTTAGGTTTTTAAATCCATCCAGACATCTTCAGGTTGGAATCACTAGATTGCCAATATATCGATAGTTCGGACCGAGCGCGCCCTTTGGTGGTCCTTGCCATTGGGAAAGTAGTTCTTGGTCAAATGACACACGCCTTTACGCAGACACTAGTCCTAACACTGGAGGATGAAAAATATAAAATATTGAGTGATCGGTTCCGTTTCGTTGATTGATATTTCATATTTCTTCCTCAAAATCATTGTATATATGTGCCAGTTGAAATGCCCTAAAGCTCTGTTGCCAATAATTTTTTTTGTTGATTGAAATTGCTGTTATATATAAAGCCTAGAATCAAAGCTTCGAAATCAAAAAACCTGACCCGTTGATTGGATTTCATGAAACCTTCATAAAATCTGTTGTGGTGTATATCATACTAAATGAATTTTACTGTATACTTTATATGAAGTGAGATGTATTGCACTTATGTTATCGATAAAACAAGTGTTTATTCCTCTGAAAATGTGAACATCTGATTATTGTATTACAGCGACTATGCAAGACTGACTTAACATTTAACAACCTGTAAAGAAGGAAATGGATTTCCAACAATCTGTTTAGTCAAAACAAAAATGCTTAAGTTGTCGGGACGGGAAATGTGGAATCAATTAATAACGGTAATGGTCCGGTTTGTATGGTCCTTCGATGGATATACCAAGATACTCTGCTTGTTCCGGTGTTAATTTTGTTAGCTGAACGCCAAGTTTGTCTAGGTGGAGTCGTGCAACTTCTTCGTCCAGTATTTTTGGCAATACATGGACGCCAATGCTATATTGTTGCGGAGTTCCGTGTTTTGTAAATAATTCAATTTGTGCCAACACCTGTAGTCAGAAATGCCAGAGACGAAGAGAAGTTATAGTGTCGGACCAAAAAATTATCGAATACATTATTTAAATAAATTGACTTTAATTCATTTCAACTTATCACCACAGCCCAATGCACAAGACTTGCATTACAGATACTGAAACGTGGTTTAGAACTTCAATTATGTCTCTCATCTATCAAATAATAGTGATATTCAAGTATAAACCTGATTTGTAAACGATGTGCTCATAACAAATGATGGATGTCCTGTAGCGCAACCTAAATTGCACAGTCGTCCTTCTGCTAACATTATGATGTGCCTTCCATTTTTCAGTAGATATCTATCAACCTGTAACGTCATTTGTCACCCGAAAAATATGCTAAAATCTGGAGTCGAGAAGGATTCAAAATACGCATAAAATAGGATTCGTTTATTTAATAAACATCCTCTCCAAAAACAGTCCGAAGAAAGTATCGAACATTGAAGAACTTAAAATCCTTTGCTGGGTTGATTGTTGCTAATTTAAAGAGAAACTAAATAAAATACCTGAGGTTTTACTGTATCTCGGCTTATCGCATTTGTATTTAACCAATTTACATCAATTTCGACATCAAAATGTCCAATATTGCAGATAATAGCGTCTTCGGGCATTTCAATCATATGTTCTCCTCGAACAACGCATTTGCAACCGGTTGTAGTGACTACGATATTTGCTATTGATGCAACATATTCCAGAGTTTTAACTTCATATCCTTAAAAATGATCACTTTTCTCCAAAAGTAAAAGTAAGATTATGTTATGTGTGCCTATCGACGATAGGTATTGCTGTTATAGTAGTCTACACGATCTCATTTTTCCTATTATAGGAATTGCTAATGTAATAGAATTGTATGTGATAATTGTTTATTGAAATAAAAACTACGTCAAAAACTGTGGGACTTACTATAAATTCTAAAAATCTTATTACAACAAATCAATGAGTACCTTCCATAGCAGCCTGTAAAGCATTGATTGGATCAATTTCAGTGACAATCACCCGTGCGCCAAATGCCCTTAGTGAAGCAGCTGCTCCCTTTCCAACGTCTCCATAACCTACTACGACAGCAACCTTTCCAGCAATCATTACATCTGTTGCTCGCTTGATACCATCAGGTAGTGATTCTCGAATTCCATACAAATTATCGAATTTTGATTTGGTGACACTGTCGTTTATATTTATCGCTGGTATCTGGCAAGAATAAGAAATTACGAAAAGTTTGCACAAAAGAACATGAATAGCCACGGATCAATATTTACACTACTCAAAACGAATGCAGATTAATCAAAAAGTAAGAATGCAAGCTGACATAACATGACATAAAATCGCTACAAGATGGTGTTATGTCATGTGGCTTAAGCCAGATAACTATCACGCTTTGCGTTTTTGATTAATCTAGATTCCAGACACAAACTTTTAACTTAGTTTTTTAGAAATATTGCTCAAAAAATCAACCTTTAATTTACCACTAGTGAACATTTTATAGAGATTGTGTACGCCTGTTGTAGTTTCTTCACTAAGACCAAAAATCCCTGACAGGTACTGAGGAAATCTTTCGTGAACGATGTTAGTTAAATCACCTCCATCATCCAGAATCATATTTAAGTGCTGATCATCTTTAAATATTAAAGTCTGAAATTGAGTTAGCTGAGTTAGCCTAAAAAGTTCCTGGTTACTTCATTGCTTGTACGTCAAAAATTTTTTCAAATACTATTATTCTCTTCTACAGCACGAGCTCAAAAATAGTTTTATATATAGTGTTGTCTAAAAAGAAATAAAATGAACAAACTCAAGATTTTACAGAGACATTACAGTATGTTTCCAGAACCACATTGTGCAAATGTTCCAAATACACAATATGACAGTTAGCAGGAAAACTTTTCCAGATAATTTTAATGAAAAAGTAAATAACTACAGGAGGAGAAAATTGAAACGCAGTTCAAATTTTCGTAACAACCACCTGTAAAATGCACCATTCATACTCTTCTTCCGTTTCTCCTTTCCATGCATATACAGGAATACCTTGCTTTGCTATAGCAGCCGCTGCATGATCTTGCGTTGAAAATATATTGCATGATGACCATTGAACCTAAAAATAAAGGCGAGCACCATGAAATGTTCGAGTCTAATGAAGAAAAAGCACATAAATTTAGCCAATTGAATGCCTGCCATTACTATAAAAAGGATCACCAATTGTAAATCTACTATTATTTTTATCTTTCATCTACATTACCAATATGCCATTATTACTCTATTATTTTCGACATAAAACCGGGATAGCACACTCACAAATCTCATAAATTTAATTTTCGAGAAAATATACCTCAGCACCAAGTTCTACTAACGTTTCAATTAGCACCGCAGTTTGAATGGTCATGTGTAAGCAACCAGCTATACGTGCTCCTTTCAACAACTTCAGTGATCCATATTTCTTACGCATCGCCATTAAACCAGGCATTTCATTTTGCGCAATTATTATTTCCTTGCGCCCAAATTCGGCCAAATTTATATCAGCTAAATATAGTTTACCATTCAAGACTAGTTGAAGCATCAGCAGACAACCTATTTGTCATTATTAACTAATTATGAAACTTCATTCCTAATATTGACAGTTCTAGGAAATATACACGACGCAAAACCCAGTGACCAGACGTAGATAAATGAGAAGTCATACAATACAATATACAATAAAAAAGAACTCACCAATTTTATACGGGAGCTTGGAAGACATTCTGAATGAACTTCTAAATAAAATCTGAAATATTCAATGAGAGTGTAATTTGTTATGAGCCACTCCCGAAGCTGCAAGTTTAACAAAATGATTGCTATAAAACTCATAGTGGCGATTGTTTTAAGGGATTTATTTATACGTCACCTTCCATTTCTTAGATTTCTGGTATCGCATCCATATAACAATTTTTCGCTCGGTATTTGTTTGTTTTGTTAAAGATACATGAATGAGATGAAATGTGGAAGCTAGCAAATGCATACCATCGATTCTAACAATTCCAAGGCAAAATATTCTGTGAGATTTATGAGAATATTTCATCTTTGGATATTGTTGTTATTACTGACATGCGATTGGAAACTAAGGGAAGCAGAGTCGGAACTGCGCAGTCATTTAACAAATGTTTTTTTCAACAAAAATTTTTACTGAACAACTCAAAATTTTTTCACTTCCAAAAAAAGATAAAGTAAATGTGATATAACGATATTTCAATTTTTATTTTCCATTCTTTAACAAGTTCGAATGATCAGATGATGTCCGTAAATAAATAAAACTATTCAGATTAATCATCGTCCGCTTCATCAGTTGGTTTCGGTGGTCGTGGTGATGGCCCTCCACTAGACTGTTTAGACATGATAATCTACAAAGTTGATAAAATTACACTGTATCAAAGTGCAGAAGTTAGAAAATCTCAAATTAAGCAAATAAATTTGTTCGGATATTCCAGTTCATCTTCTATCCGTCCCAAAGTCATAAAGTAAGATAATTTTGATTTAATTCAAGAAGTCCTTTTTTACTGCGATCTGACTGGTGAATAATTGCTTCATTGTCAAATAGATATTAAAAAGGAAACGAAAATGTTATGAAGCGAGAAATTAACTCAAATTAAGAAGCTAATTAATGTATTTAGAGACCCATTATGCTCTTTCACTTTTTAAATTTCTCTTCAGAAATGCTTAGGTACAAACCTGATCTATTTTCAAAATGGTAATTGCAGCATCTGCAGCTAATTTGATGGCAGATTTTTTACCACTGTATAGATCGTAGATATCGGCCTCCACAGCATCCATTATATCCCCAGAAATGAGATCTATTCCGGCATTCCTTTGACCTTCTTGATGAGCAGCGTAAATTTTGGAAAGTACTTCAGTTGGCTAAAATATTACTGCAGAATACAGTAGTATACTAATCAACAAGTATATGTTGGAAGTAATTGATTTTTAAAAGATATTTCATCGGTCACTTCACTTACATCTAATCCGGCGTTCTCGGTAATTTGTTTCGGTAAAGCTTCCAGAGCATGTGCAAATTTTTTGATTGAATACTGTTCAAGTCCAGCACATTTCTCACCAAATGATTCTATTTGTCGAGCCAGTTCAACCTCGACAGCTCCAGCACCAGGAAGCAACTGTAATGTAAAGTAATGCAATGATGCATTTAGTAATGCACTCCGTTTCTAAGTGCGTTACAAAACTTTATCATCGGAATTATTTAGCTAATCATGCAATGCTCGCTATGAACAATTGAATATCATGCTAAACAATAATGGACCTCCTAAGAAGGAAACACACTAGAATTGTCAAACTGTTTCATTTACCCACTGGTC